CGAAAGCAGGTTGTGAAGCCGGACGGCGTGGTTCACGGCGTAGGGCCAATATTTCTCGGGGAGGCCGGATTGGTTCATAAGGGCGTGGACCGTCGTCATGATGGTGCCGTTGACCCGCTCGGCAACGCCTTGCTGTTGGTGAGCGTAGGGAAGGGAGGTGTGATGCTTGATCCCCTTCTCTGTGAGGAACGCTTGTAGTTCGTTGCCGCGGAATTCCTTTGCGTCGTCCGTCTGCTATATCTTCAGCTTCTTCCCTGATTCTTGTTGCGCATGTGCTAGCCAGATGCGGAAGACTTCAGGAGCTTTGGAGTGAAAATCAACATTGGCCACCCAGACATATCGTGAGTATGCATCGACGAAGGTGAGGGTGTGGCTTTCGCCGTTGACTCCTCCGTATGTTATGACGATGAAGTCGCTGTAGACCTTCTGCGGTTTCTTGTAGCGGTTGGTGCTGGGTTATGGTGAGGGATAGGCTTGATGCGCGAGAGCAACAGTGGGGCAGATGGTACAGGTGTTTGGATGTGTTGTGCTTATTGGTTCCGTGCCGTCGGGGCGCAGTAGTGCTCCTGGCTGAAAAACTTTGGCGCGGAGGCAATTGTTGAATGTCTGGCGCGAGGGGTGTCCAAGCCGCTGGTGCTAGAGATCGTCATCTGCGCAAACTCCAGGGGTGCGCAGATATCGTGCACGGTATTCTGCTGCTTCTGCTTCTGTCTCTTGTGGGATGTGGAGCACGGTCCTTCTTTTTCTCCTTGTTTTGCTTTGTCTTCCTCTTCTGATTCTGCTTCTGCTGCTGTCTCTGGTTCTGCCGCTTTTTCTGCTTCTGCAGGTGCAATTGTGAGATAGAGGGCGAGGAAGTTGCGACCGGGAATGATATTCAGCGGGGTTTTGGTACCTTCGATGAAGCGCGCGAAGGGGTCAGGCAGTTGATTGGTCCGTAGACATCGCGCGGCGGTGTTGCGGGCTCGTTGCCTTCTTCTAGGCCGGTCAAGGAGGATTCCCATATAAGGGGTGAGCGGGGCGATGATGGTAGGTTACTCGGAGGTTGCCCAAGAGGAACTGCAACTCTTGGTGGAGTATGCTCAGCTGTCGCTTCTCATTCTGCCTCCTCCAAATCTTCATGGGTGAGCTCCCCTTCAGTCATACCCCAGGCTGCGACGGTGTCCCATCCGCCTCCGCCGGTGCCCCAGCCGCTCACAGTGACCGATGCGCCTGTTGCTGATCCCCATGTTGCTCCAGTGCCGCCTGTTCCCCATCCTCCGCTTCGTGCAGATTCTTTGTCCCATCTAGCAGCGTGCCGTTCTTGATACAAGCGTTCCCTCTCCTCTGCTTATGCTTTCTCTTCTTCGTCCTTGACGCTGAGTTCCTCAGGTGCGCCAGGGCCTTTCCACTCTTTGTCGATGTGGCGGTAAATCTCGCGAGAGTAAGGATGGGCCCTGTCTTCTTCATCGAAAGTTCCGATAGTTCCTTCCTCCAAGATCCAGCGGAGAGTTTCGGCAGCGGGAGTTGGACGTTCCTGTTCTGTCATCCCCAGTTCTTGTTTTGGGTTTCGAAGATGCGGTGGGAGGTGACGGCCAGCTCTATCTCTGTCATGCCTTCTACCGGCTTGTCTGCACTTTCTGCTTCTTCAATCGCCGCTAAGTCTCTTTCAATTTCTTATGTGCGCCTCGCTGTGGGTGTGAAGCAAGTGGTGCAGAGTCCATCAGGCCCGGGCTTGTGCAGGTTTATCTCGCGCGGGTGAGGGCTGCGTCTAATCCACGGCCGTCCATCGGGGAGGTTTCTAGGACGTCTATGTAGGCGAAGTCCAGCGGTACGAGGTCCACAAGCTCGTCCGATGTTGCCCTGCAGTCAGGTATGTCGAAGTCGAGCACGTATGCTCCGTTGATTGAGCGCGCTCGCCCGAGGTACTTGTGAGCTTCGGCGGGGGTGTCGGGCCGAGCATAGTTGAGGATAAGGTCGCGTGTGTAAGGGTTGGTGGTGAGGGATTATCAATATAGATGTTGTAGTAAATATTCTTGAAGGTCTCTCTGTGCCATATATCTGGCGTGCATTATGTGTAGGGCGGGTTAACATTAAAAGTTTTTGAAGGCATGTGGCTTTGTAATTTATGTATGATATGGTTGGGACTTATTTACCTGAGACTATACTCATTTTTGCTGATTTCTGTCCCTGGTTAATTGTTATCCATGACGTCGGAACGACTCTTAAGCAGTATGTAAGGAGGCGTTCCCACGGCTTGGACAAGTTTGAGTCTGCCCACGCGGCTCGCAAATTTCCAATGTTTGTAAAAATTGAATGGTTGCGACTCCAGGTCTGGACACCTTTGTGCAACAATCTGGGTCGTAAGATCCGGCATGGTTACCCAATCGAACGTCTGACGACAACATCCGCAAACCACGGTGTGAAGTGCACTCGAAGGGCAGGGTTACGAATCACTTATGGGGCGAAAGCGTCAAAGATCGAGAAGAAACTCTCTCTCCCCGTACAGAAACCAAAGTCGACTCCACGCTCGAGCAGATAGAACTACTTCAGAAAATACACCTGAAAATTCTCGCTACGGTTGGCGAAACTTCGTTCTGCTCTGTTATTGGAGGCGAGTCTGTAGCCGAATTTGCGAATTCTGGGCATAAAACACTGCGGTGTCCGAAGTGGGGAAGTACCCTACCATGGGCATCATTCTGCCGAATTACGAGCCGCGTGGGCAGACTCACGTCTTGTCCAAACCGTGGGAACACCATCTAAGCCCCTTCTGCTTCCTGTGAGCCGATTGGACAACATTCCCACAGCTTGCCGGGTACTGTACATTATGGTATGGGATCAGCTCTGGTGCCGCACATGGCGGCTCTGGCTCGGCGCAACTTGGCGGGAAAACGAAGCCCAAGGTCAATAAGCGAGGAGACGCGATTTGGGTTTGGCTCGGCGGAAAGCCGACACCGACATTACCGAAGGTAACCTAGCGGGAACCAGCGGCAGAGGTTCGGAGAAAGATGCCTTCCATGCAGGTCTGCTCATGTCGAAGCTCGATGAAACATCACAGCGAATTTGACGTGATTGGGCTAACGGTTGCTGTGGTGCAGAGCGGTCTAGAAATAAACGAGAGCGTATTTGTGCGGTCCTGGATGTTAGCCAGCTTAATTCGCTGCATCCCCTTTCACCCCACTCACTCGAGTTTCTCATCTCATCTTCCAAACCGTGTCCTTCAGAGCTTGGCTTCTTGATCCACTCTGCCTAGTCACCTCGATAACTACCATTTGCTGTCGTATGCCAGTAGTTGCTTGCCAGCAGCGTGATCAGCGGTGTAGGATCCAAGCCAGGCTCGTTCGCTTCGTACTCACGTCAGCGCGTCCAGTTTCGCGGGTATCTGACGTTTGGTAACGATCTTTTCGGGTCCGTCACGCTAGGTCGCATCGCGTGTTACATTCCAGTGCGATTTCGAGCTGAATAGCGTCTTATTGTTCCAGTGCCAGATATCTTGATTCTTCTTCGGTGCCAAGAAGCCCTTCGTCTCCAACATCAATCCTTGCACCTATTGGTCTATTCTCTGTGGAAAGTTAGTTGGCCCGTCAGCTCCCTCCTGTGCGAGGTTATCTACGTATTAAAATGGGTAAGTGAGTCGCAGTTTCGACTCCTAAAGATCCACTTCATTTGGTCTCACTGTTAGTGGTCTTATTGTCATTTTTCAGTGACTCTCCAGCCGTAATAGAACTCAAATTTTACTGCCTATGCACCCAGCTCCTATGTTTTGTTGCCTCGATCTTCCTTCCTTCAGTCGTTATCGTCTCGACTTATACATTTTTTAAAAGGAGCCCGTCTGACAAAATGGGTTTCCTGTATTCGCAGCGCCCGTCAAGTCGCATTCCAAGGTCGTTTCCATCGGACGGACTCCGTTAGTGCATCCGCTGGACCCGCTGAGTCCCGCGGAGATCTCTGTTGCCCTCGCGACGGTCCGCGCGGCTGGAGCTACTCCCGAGGCAAGTTACTTATCACATTTTATTTGCTATTTTATCGTGTTTTCTGCCATTTCAAATCTAGTTAGAAATTTTACAGTTCGGTTTGATAAAAACATGCTGAAGTGACGCATATTTAGTTATCATGCGTTTCAAATACATTGATGGACCTCCTGTTGGGAAGTTTTCCCTATTTTTTCCCTCATTTTCGTGTTCCGTCACTATTGCTGATGTACCTGTTTCGTTGTTTCAGCTGCGGGATGCCATCCGCTTTATTGAGGTGGCTCTTAACGAGCCACCCAAGGACGTGGTCGCACTGGCAGACGCCTACTTCTTCCCTCCTTACCAGCACTCGGTGTACATTCCACCCGCCAACGCTCACCCTCTCCCTCACAACAAGCCTTCCTCCTCCATTCCCTCCTCCTCCACCTCCCCCATCCCTTCCCCCTCCCCCTCTTCCGCCGCCTCCCCCTCTCCCAAAGCGGCTGTTCTCCGCCTCCCCCCCCGGGAGGCGAGGCTGGTGACGTGGAACAAGCTGACCAATCAGACGGCTGTGTGGGTCGTACAGCTGGCGGAGGTGCATGCGAGTCTGAGAGGGGGACATCACCGTGGACGAATCAAATCGTGCCAGGTCATGGAGGACGTTCAGCCCGCCATGGTGAGTCCAGACAAAGGCTCTTAGCTTCCCATGTCGTTCGCCGCCATGTCGTGTGTTACACTCTTGTTGGTGCTATAACGGGTTAGATTTGGGGTGCACTCCGATTTCTCTCTGCTTCTCTTCCCTCCCCTCTCCTTAGGACGCAGTGGAGAATGCAGAGTACTTAACACGGTCAAAGCATCTTCTTGCCCCTCATCCCTCATCCTTCCTTTCTCTCATCCTCCCATCCTCCCCTCGAGACGCAGTGGAGCATGCAGAGTGAGAAGCATGCAGAAGTGAAGGCACACCCGCTCACCCACCATGCGTATTGTACCGTGCCTTCACTGCACAATTTCTCATCTCATTCATACAGTTTGGCTCTTCTTTTCCTCTCTCTACTACTTTAACCATCTCCTCAGGACGCAGTGGAGTATGCAGAGTGCGAGGCAGCAGTAAAGGCACACCCGCCCTTTCAAGAGGCGATGAGGCGACGGGGCGTAGATGACATGGATCTAGTCATGGTGGACGCCTGGTGAGTCAGCAGAGCCACGTGCTGAGTCAGAAAGGGCACTTGTTGAGTCAGCGTTCTCCAAAAGTGGCGCGAGCAAGTTTGTCCTATGTCGTGGAATATGCATGCGTGATTGGGAACTATTCCTTATGGCATCTTGTTCAATTTCGTTCAACTCTCAACACCCCACTAGACCATTCAGCGCTCAGCCATTCCCCTCCCTCCTTCCCCGATGTGTTTCTATCCACGCTCTCCTAATCTCCTCCCTTCTCTCCAGGTGTGTGGGGTACTACTCTGAAGCGGATCACCCCAATCGCCGCCTCGCTAAGCCGCTAATCTTCTGCCGCTGCCCCTCTGACTGCTGCTTGGACAATGGATACGCCAGGCCTGTGGAGGGTATATACGTGACTGTGGATATGCAGGTGAGCAGATGTACCCTCTATAAGCTCTGTCTCGTTAACAGCACACACGCATGTGCCCCTCTGACTGCTCCTTGAACAATGGATACGCCAGGCCTGTGGAGAGAATATACGTGACTGTAGACATGCAGGTAAGCAAATGTACCCTACATAATCACCGTCCCATTAGCAGCACACACGCATGTGCCACTCTGACTGCTCCTTCGACAATGGGTACGCCAGGCCTGTGGAGGGTATATACGTGACTTTGGACATGCAGGTGAGCTGATGTACCCTCTATAAGCTCTGTCTCGTTAACAGCACACGCGCATGTGCCCCTCAGACTGCTCCTTGGACAATGGATACGCCAGGCATGTGGAGGGTAAATACGTGACTGTGGACATGCAGGTGAGCAGATATGCCCTTTATATAATCTATTTCCTTCCTCTCCCGTCTTCCCGTGTTGCGCCGTTTAGAGCATTACACTGCTGCTGCTCACACCCCTCATTTTTCCCACCACCTCCCTTCAATCCGCCCCTGCTGCTGCTGCTGCTGCTGCTGCTGCTGCTGCTGCTGCTGATCAGAGCATGGCAGTGGCCAAGTGTGACCCTGATACACTTAACTCCTCTCCCATCCCCATTTCCTCCTTTCACATTGTCCTTACTCCCATCTCCGTTTTCACCCCACGTTTGTTCAGAGCATGGAAGTGATCAAGTGCCCCCGCCCGACCCCCTTGTGTAAACAGTGGCTATCGGGATGTAAACTGTCATTCCCCTCTCTCCCGTCTTCTCCTGCTAATGCCGTTACAGAGCATGGCGGAGATCAAGTGCGAGGACAGGGAGCTCTTATTAGCCTTCACTCCTTTCTCCTTCCCCTCCTTACTTTCACCCCATCTTAAACCCAACCAGAGCATGGAGGTGATCAGGTGCGACGACAGGGAGCTCATCCCGTTGCCCCCGCCCGACCCGCTGCGCAACTACACGCCCGGGGCGGACAGAGGGGGCGTGGACCGCCCTGACTTGAAGCCACCACCCACTCATCACCCCCTGTCCCTTTCCCCATCTCCTCCCTTGAATCTGCTGCTGCTCCTGCCCCTGCTGCTGCTGCTCCTGCCCCTGCTGCTGCTGCTCCTGCCCCTGCTGCTGCTGCTCCTGCCCCTGCTGCTGCTGCTCCTGCCCCTGCTGCTCCTGCCCCTGCTGCTGCTGCTCCTGCCCCTGCTGCTGCTGCTCCTGCCCCTGCTGCTGCTGCTCCTGCCCCTGCTGCTGCTGCTCCTGCCCCTGCTGCTGCTGCTCCTGCCCCTGCTGCTGCTGCTCCTGCCCCTGCTGCTGCTGCTCCTGCCCCTGCTGCTGCTGCTCCTGCCCCTGCTGCTGCTGCTCCTGCCCCTGCTGCTGCTGCTCCTGCCCCTGCTGCTGCTGCTCCTGCCCCTGCTGCTGCTGCTCCTGCCCCTGTTGCTGTTGCTCCTGCCCCTGCTGCTGCTGCTCCTGCCCCTGCTGCTGCTGCTCCTGCCCCTGCTGCTGTTGCTGCTTCTTCTCCATCCGCCCCTGCTACCGTTACAGAGTATGGAAGTGATCAGGTGCGAGGACAGGGAGGTCATCCCGTTGCCCCCGCCCGACCCGCTGCGCAACTACACGGCCGGGGCGGACAGGGGGGGCGTGGACCGCCCTGACTTGAAGCCCATCAAAATAGAGCAGCCGGAAGGGCCAAGCTTCCGCGTGAATGGATACGCCGTGGAGTGGCAGAAGGTGCGTAAGAGAGAGGGATGGGATGGGGGCGGACAGGGGGGGCGTGGACCGCTCTGACTTGAAGCCCATAAGAATAGAGCAGCCGGAAGGGCCGAGCTTCAGAGTGTCAGGCTATGCTGTGGAGTGGCAGAAGGTGGGTGGGTGGGTGGCTTGAAGGGTTGAATACGGTGTGGAGTGGCAGAGGGTGCATGGGAGAGAGTAGAGTGAGCAGCCTGAGGAGCCGAGCTTCAGAGTGTCGGGCTATGCTGCCGAGTGGCAGAAGGTGGGTGGAAGGGGGGGAGGAGGGAGGGGGGAAGGCGGAAGGCGGAATGCTGGAGGTGGATTGGGGGGTTGGGAAAGTGGGGCGGAGGGGAGATGGGGAAAAGGGGATTGTGATGGTTGGGTAGTTTGGTTACATGGGGAGAGAGGGGGACAAAGGGACTGGGGGCAGATGGTTGGGTAGTTTGGTTACATGGGGAGAGAGGGGGACAAAGGGACTGGGGGCAGATGGTTGGGTAGTTTGGTTACATGGGAAGAGAGGGGGACAAAGGGACTGGGGGCAGATGGTTGGGTAGTTTGGGTGCGTGGGGACGACTGTGCGGTTACGTGGTAGCAGATTGTGCGGCGTGGACTGCACTGACTTGAAGCTGATTAGAGGGAATCACCCTGATAATTCGAGCTTCATAGCAGTGGGCCTTAATCCGTCCATCGTATTCCTCCCTACTCCTGCCCATTCCCCACCCTTTTTCCAGTGGAGTTTCCGAGTGGGGTTCACGCCTAAAGAGGGCCTGGTGCTACACGCCCTAGCGTACGACGATGGCAGCAGCGGCAGGAGGGGCATTGCGCACCGGCTGAGCTTCTGTGAGATGGTGGTGCCGTATGGCGACCCCCACGAGCCCCACTACCGCAAAAACGCCTTCGATGCCGGCGAGGACGGGCTGGGGAAGAATGCACACTCTCTCAAGAAGGTGAGTGGCTGTGTGGGCAAGGAGAGAGAAGCAATGGAGGGAGGACGGGCTGGGGAAGAATGCACACTCTCTCAAGAAGGTGCGTGGCTGTGTGGGCAAGGAGAGAGAAGCAATGGAGGGAGGACGGGCTGGGGAAGAATGCACACTCTCTCAAGAAGGTGCGTGGCTGTGTGGGCAAGGAGAGAGAAGCAATGGAGGGAGGACGGGCTGGGGAAGAATGCACACTCTCTCAAGAAGGTGCGGGGCTGTGTGGGCAAGGAGAGAGAAGCAATGGAGGGAGGACGGGCTGGGGAAGAACGCGCACTCGCTAAAGAAGGTGAGCGCTTTTGGTGCTGGTGGTAGTGGTGCTGGGGCTGCTGCTGCTGCTGCTGTTGCTGCTGCTGGTGGGGCTACTGGTGTGGCTAGTGTGTGAAGTCTCTCTGCCTTGTTAGACAGGCTGCGTTAAATACAACCCTCAATACCTGAAAAAGTCGTTTGAGGCTCAAGAACACTCTTTTTTCTTCTTCTTCATCTCAATTTCTTCTTTCCCCATCCCATTCTCCCCATACGATTCTCCCCATCCCATTCTCCCCATACGATTTTCCCCATCCCATTCTCCCCATTCGATTCTCCCCATCCCATACTTCCCATCCATTTCTTTCCCTAGGGATGTGATTGTTTAGGGTTGATCCGCTACTTTGACGCACACATGAGCAACTTCATTGGCGGGGTGGAGACGATAGAGAACGCCGTGTGCATGCATGAGGAGGACCATGGCATGCTCTGGAAGCACGTGGACTGGCGGGGTTGGTGGTGCTGCTGGTGCTGCTGCTCGTGGTGCTGCTGCTGCTGGATTGAAGGCAAGAGAGAGACCGTTCACCCCTCTACCTCCTGTCGACTTTCCCTTCCCTGCTCTCCCCCAGGGCTGTGATTGTCTAGGCTTCATCCGCTACTTTGACGCGCACATGAGCAACTTTATCGGCGGGGTGGAGACGATAGAGAACGCCGTGTGCATGCATGAGGAGGACCATGGCATGCTCTGGAAGCACGTGGACTGGCGCTCGGGGCACACGGAAGTGAGGCGGTCGAGACGCCTGGTGCTCTCTTTCGTGTGCACCGTGGCCAACTACGAATACGGCTTCTTCTGGTACCTCTACCAGGTGGGTGTGTCCTACCGGCCCTATCAGCTTCTCCTTGTCTGTGTGGGTGGGACGGTGTGAATGCTCCCATTCATGTGCACCATGGCCAACTACGAATACGGCTTCTTCTGGTACCTCTACCAGGTGTGTTTGCTTCACCAGGTTGGCTTGTCAGTGCCATATGCACTCACAGATTCGAGGCTGGCTGGTGGGATTGGATGGTGCTGTCGTTTGTGTGCACGGTGGCCAACTACGAATACGGCTTCTTCTGGTACCTCTACCAGGCGAGTTTCTCTCACCAGGCGAGTTTCTCTCACCAGGCAAGTTTCTCTCACCAGGCGAGTTTCTCTCACCAGGCGAGTTTCTCTCACCAGGCGAGTTTCTCTCACCAGGCCTATCAGCTTCTTCTTTGTCTGGGTGGGTTGGCGGCAACGTCTGGTGCTGTCATTCGTGTGCACCATGGCCAACTATGAATACGCTTCTTCTGGCACCTCTACCAGGTAGGTGTTTTCTACCGCCCCTGTGTGCATGTGTGAGGGGGACCACGAATTCCCACCACCACCCCTTGAGTGGGGCAGCAGGGTGAGGGCTGGTGCTGTTGCTTGTGTGCACCATGGCAAACTATGAATACGGCTTCTTCTGGTATCTCTACCAGGTGGGTGGATTCAACCGGCCCTGTCAGTGTTGAGTGCTAGTCGTCGAGTAGGGATGGCTGGTGCTGTCATTCATGTGCACCGTGGCAAATCACGAATACGGCTTCTTCTGGTACCTCTACCAGGTGGGTTTGCTTTGCACCCGTTGGCTTGTCTTGTCAGTGTGCACTCACCGGCACTTGTTTCTTCAATCCCCCTTCTCCAACCCCGCCCACCTCACTTCCATCCACTTCCCTCGCTTCATGCCCGCACACTTCGCGTCCATCCACTTGTCCCTCCTTCCCTATGCCTTTCCTCTGGACGGCAAGATCGAGTTCCAAGTAAAGCTGACGGGAATCTTATCAGTGGGAACTCTGAGGGAGGGCGAGGAGAGAAAGTACCGCACACTGCTGGCGCCGGGGCTTTACGCTCCCATCCACCCCCTTGACTAACCCTACTCCCTCCACTCTCCTACTCCCCTTCCTCCCCTTCCTCTTCCCTGCTCTCTTCCCTGCTCTCTTCCCTCCTCTCTTCCCTCCTCTCCCCTCTTTACACTCTTCCACACCACAGGATGGCAAGATCGAAGCGCAAGTGAAGCTGACGGGCATTCTGTCGGTGGGAACTCTGAGGGAGGGCGAGGAGAGAAAGTACGGCACGCTGCTGGCGCCGGGGCTGTACGCTCCCATCCACCAGCACTTCTTCGTGGCTCGCATGGACATGGCTGTTGACTGCCGGCCAGGGGAGCAGGCTAATCAGGTGGGGACTATTGAGGCACATGGTAAGGGGTGCCTTTGCATCCAATGCTGGTGCACACACCCCATCTATCCACCAGCACTTGTTCGTGGCTCGCATGGACATGGCTGTGGACTGCCGCCCGGGGGAGCAGGATAACCAGGTAGAAGAAGGGGGTTGGGAGAGGGGAATACAATGGAGGTTTGTGGTTGAGGTGCGCTGCGCAGTGCCTTTTTTGCACCCACCCTCGCACCTCCCCCACCCCATTTATTCACCATCACCAGGTGGTGGTGCAAACGTGAGGAAGGAAGGGGAGGGAAAGGGATCGCACGACCCACATTAATGTGGAGGATAAGGAGTTGCATGTCCAATAAACATGTGTATACTCCTTGATCCAACCTCTTCTTCCCGGCCCCCCTTCCCTCCTCATCCCCTATATCAGATAGTGGACCGGAACGTGAGGATGGAAGGGGAGGGTCCCCACAACCCACATGCGAATGCGGCCATGATCCCTCCAAGTGCCGAGATTTTCCGCCCTCATCCCCTACGTCAGGTGGTGGAGCTGAATGTGAGGATGGAGACGGAAGGGTCCCACAACCCACATGCGAATATGGCCACGATCCTTTAAAGTGCTGAGATTTCCTGCCCTTCCCCCCTCATCCCCTACACCAGGTGGTGGAGCTGAATGTGAGGATGGAGACGGAAGGGTCCCACAACCCACATGCGAATATGGCCACGATCCTTTAAAGTGCTGAGATTTCCTGCCCTTCCCCCCTCATCCCCTACACCAGGTGGTGGAGCTGAATGTGAGGATGGAGACGGAAGGGTCCCACAACCCACATGCGAATATGGCCACGATCCTTTAAAGTGCTGAGATTTCCTGCCCTTCCCCCCTCATCCCCTACACCAGGTGGTGGAGCTGAATGTGAGGATGGAGACGGAAGGGTCCCACAACCCACATGCGAATATGGCCACGATCCTTTAAAGTGCTGAGATTTCCTGCCCTTCCCCCCTCATCCCCTACGTCAGGTGGTGGAGCTGAATGTGAGGATGGAGACGGAAGGGTCCCACAACCCACATGCGAATATGGCCACGATCCTTTAAAGTGCTGAGATTTCCTGCCCTTCCCCCCTCATCCCCTACACCAGGTGGTGGAGCTGAATGTGAGGATGGAGACGGAAGGGTCCCACAACCCACATGCGAATATGGCCACGATCCTTTAAAGTGCTGAGATTTCCTGCCCTTCCCCCCTCATCCCCTACACCAGGTGGTGGAGCTGAATGTGAGGATGGAGACGGAAGGGTCCCACAACCCACATGCGAATATGGCCACGATCCTTTAAAGTGCTGAGATTTCCTGCCCTTCCCCCCTCATCCCCTACACCAGGTGGTGGAGCTGAATGTGAGGATGGAGACGGAAGGGTCCCACAACCCACATGCGAATATGGCCACGATCCTTTAAAGTGCTGAGATTTCCTGCCCTTCCCCCCTCATCCCCTACACCAGGTGGTGGAGCTGAATGTGAGGATGGAGACGGAAGGGTCCCACAACCCACATGCGAATATGGCCACGATCCTTTAAAGTGCTGAGATTTCCTGCCCTTCCCCCCTCATCCCCTACGTCAGGTGGTGGAGCTGAATGTGAGGATGGAGACGGAAGGGTCCCACAACCCACATGCGAATATGGCCACGATCCTTTAAAGTGCTGAGATTTCCTGCCCTTCCCCCCTCATCCCCTACACCAGGTGGTGGAGCTGAATGTGAGGATGGAGACGGAAGGGTCCCACAACCCACATGCGAATATGGCCACGATCCTTTAAAGTGCTGAGATTTCCTGCCCTTCCCCCCTCATCCCCTACACCAGGTGGTGGAGCTGAATGTGAGGATGGAGACGGAAGGGTCCCACAACCCACATGCGAATATGGCCACGATCCTTTAAAGTGCTGAGATTTCCTGCCCTTCCCCCCTCATCCCCTACACCAGGTGGTGGAGCTGAATGTGAGGATGGAGACGGAAGGGTCCCACAACCCACATGCGAATATGGCCACGATCCTTTAAAGTGCTGAGATTTCCTGCCCTTCCCCCCTCATCCCCTACGTCAGGTGGTGGAGCTGAATGTGAGGATGGAGACGGAAGGGTCCCACAACCCACATGCGAATATGGCCACGATCCTTTAAAGTGCTGAGATTTCCTGCCCTTCCCCCCTCATCCCCTACACCAGGTGGTGGAGCTGAATGTGAGGATGGAGACGGAAGGGTCCCACAACCCACATGCGAATATGGCCACGATCCTTTAAAGTGCTGAGATTTCCTGCCCTTCCCCCCTCATCCCCTACACCAGGTGGTGGAGCTGAATGTGAGGATGGAGACGGAAGGGTCCCACAACCCACATGCGAATATGGCCACGATCCTTTAAAGTGCTGAGATTTCCTGCCCTTCCCCCCTCATCCCCTACACCAGGTGGTGGAGCTGAATGTGAGGATGGAGACGGAAGGGTCCCACAACCCACATGCGAATATGGCCACGATCCTTTAAAGTGCTGAGATTTCCTGCCCTTCCCCCCTCATCCCCTACACCAGGTGGTGGAGCTGAATGTGAGGATGGAGACGGAAGGGTCCCACAACCCACATGCGAATATGGCCACGATCCTTTAAAGTGCTGAGATTTCCTGCCCTTCCCCCCTCATCCCCTACACCAGGTGGTGGAGCTGAATGTGAGGATGGAGACGGAAGGGTCCCACAACCCACATGCGAATATGGCCACGATCCTTTAAAGTGCTGAGATTTCCTGCCCTTCCCCCCTCATCCCCTACACCAGGTGGTGGAGCTGAATGTGAGGATGGAGACGGAAGGGTCCCACAACCCACATGCGAATATGGCCACGATCCTTTAAAGTGCTGAGATTTCCTGCCCTTCCCCCCTCATCCCCTACGTCAGGTGGTGGAGCTGAATGTGAGGATGGAGACGGAAGGGTCCCACAACCCACATGCGAATATGGCCACGATCCTTTAAAGTGCTGAGATTTCCTGCCCTTCCCCCCTCATCCCCTACACCAGGTGGTGGAGCTGAATGTGAGGATGGAGACGGAAGGGTCCCACAACCCACATGCGAATATGGCCACGATCCTTTAAAGTGCTGAGATTTCCTGCCCTTCCCCCCTCATCCCCTACACCAGGTGGTGGAGCTGAATGTGAGGATGGAGACGGAAGGGTCCCACAACCCACATGCGAATATGGCCACGATCCTTTAAAGTGCTGAGATTTCCTGCCCTTCCCCCCTCATCCCCTACACCAGGTGGTGGAGCTGAATGTGAGGATGGAGACGGAAGGGTCCCACAACCCACATGCGAATATGGCCACGATCCTTTAAAGTGCTGAGATTTCCTGCCCTTCCCCCCTCATCCCCTACACCAGGTGGTGGAGCTGAATGTGAGGATGGAGACGGAAGGGTCCCACAACCCACATGCGAATATGGCCACGATCCTTTAAAGTGCTGAGATTTCCTGCCCTTCCCCCCTCATCCCCTACGTCAGGTGGTGGAGCTGAATGTGAGGATGGAGACGGAAGGGTCCCACAACCCACATGCGAATATGGCCACGATCCTTTAAAGTGCTGAGATTTCCTGCCCTTCCCCCCTCATCCCCTACACCAGGTGGTGGAGCTGAATGTGAGGATGGAGACGGAAGGGTCCCACAACCCACATGCGAATATGGCCACGATCCTTTAAAGTGCTGAGATTTCCTGCCCTTCCCCCCTCATCCCCTACACCAGGTGGTGGAGCTGAATGTGAGGATGGAGACGGAAGGGTCCCACAACCCACATGCGAATATGGCCACGATCCTTTAAAGTGCTGAGATTTCCTGCCCTTCCCCCCTCATCCCCTACACCAGGTGGTGGAGCTGAATGTGAGGATGGAGACGGAAGGGTCCCACAACCCACATGCGAATATGGCCACGATCCTTTAAAGTGCTGAGATTTCCTGCCCTTCCCCCCTCATCCCCTACGTCAGGTGGTGGAGCTGAATGTGAGGATGGAGACGGAAGGGTCCCACAACCCACATGCGAATATGGCCACGATCCTTTAAAGTGCTGAGATTTCCTGCCCTTCCCCCCTCATCCCCTACACCAGGTGGTGGAGCTGAATGTGAGGATGGAGACGGAAGGGTCCCACAACCCACATGCGAATATGGCCACGATCCTTTAAAGTGCTGAGATTTCCTGCCCTTCCCCCCTCATCCCCTACACCAGGTGGTGGAGCTGAATGTGAGGATGGAGACGGAAGGGTCCCACAACCCACATGCGAATATGGCCACGATCCTTTAAAGTGCTGAGATTTCCTGCCCTTCCCCCCTCATCCCCTACACCAGGTGGTGGAGCTGAATGTGAGGATGGAGACGGAAGGGTCCCACAACCCACATGCGAATATGGCCACGATCCTTTAAAGTGCTGAGATTTCCTGCCCTTCCCCCCTCATCCCCTACACCAGGTGGTGGAGCTGAATGTGAGGATGGAGACGGAAGGGTCCCACAACCCACATGCGAATATGGCCACGATCCTTTAAAGTGCTGAGATTTCCTGCCCTTCCCCCCTCATCCCCTACACCAGGTGGTGGAGCTGAATGTGAGGATGGAGACGGAAGGGTCCCACAACCCACATGCGAATATGGCCACGATCCTTTAAAGTGCTGAGATTTCCTGCCCTTCCCCCCTCATCCCCTACGTCAGGTGGTGGAGCTGAATGTGAGGATGGAGACGGAAGGGTCCCACATCCCACATGCAAATATGGCCACGATCCTTTAAAGTGCTGAGATTTCCTGCCCTTCCCCCCTCATCCCCTACACCAGGTGGTGGAGCTGAATGTGAGGATGGAGACGGAAGGGTCCCACAACCCACATGCGAATATGGCCACGATCCTTTAAAGTGCTGAGATTTCCTGCCCTTCCCCCCTCATCCCCTACACCAGGTGGTGGAGCTGAATGTGAGGATGGAGACGGAAGGGTCCCACAACCCACATGCGAATATGGCCACGATCCTTTAAAGTGCTGAGATTTCCTGCCCTTCCCCCCTCATCCCCTACACCAGGTGGTGGAGCTGAATGTGAGGATGGAGACGGAAGGGTCCCACAACCCACATGCGAATATGGCCACGATCCTTTAAAGTGCTGAGATTTCCTGCCCTTCCCCCCTCATCCCCTACACCAGGTGGTGGAGCTGAATGTGAGGATGGAGACGGAAGGGTCCCACAACCCACATGCGAATATGGCCACGATCCTTTAAAGTGCTGAGATTTCCTGCCCTTCCCCCCTCATCCCCTACGTCAGGTGGTGGAGCTGAATGTGAGGATGGAGACGGAAGGGTCCCACAACCCACATGCAAATATGGCCACGATCCTTTAAAGTGCTGAGATTTCCTGCCCTTCCCCCCTCATCCCCTACACCAGGTGGTGGAGCTGAATGTGAGGATGGAGACGGAAGGGTCCCACAACCCACATGCGAATATGGCCACGATCCTTTAAAGTGCTGAGATTTCCTGCCCTTCCCCCCTCATCCCCTACACCAGGTGGTGGAGCTGAATGTGAGGATGGAGACGGAAGGGTCCCACAACCCACATGCGAATATGGCCACGATCCTTTAAAGTGCTGAGATTTCCTGCCCTTCCCCCCTCATCCCCTACGTCAGGTGGTGGAGCTGAATGTGAGGATGGAGACGGAAGGGTCCCACAACCCACATGCGAATATGGCCACGATCCTTTAAAGTGCTGAGATTTCCTGCCCTTCCCCCCTCATCCCCTACGTCAGGTGGTGGAGCTGAATGTGAGGATGGAGTCGGAGGGCCCCCACAACCCGCACGCGAATGCCTTCTATGCGGAGGAGAGGGTGCTTCGGACAGAGGGCGAAGGGATGAGAGATGTGGATCCTATGTCTGCTCGCCACTGGCTGGTGAGTGGGAGGGGAGTTGTGGGGGAGTGAGTGATGGAGTGAGGAGTTTGCTGCTCCATTTTGCCGCTTGAAAATAATCGAGTTTTCAGACCTTCAAGCCCTTCGTCTACTTTTTGTCCATGTCCCCATTTCTTGGTTTGGCCTTTGTGGGGCATATTTTCTTACCAACAACGCAGATCCAAAACACTCGGGCAGTCAACAGGGCAGGTCGGCCCACCGCCTACAAGCTCGTGCCGGGGTCCAACTGCCTGCCCTTCTCGCAGCCCGAGGCGAAATTTCTCCGCCGGGCAGCTTTCCTGAAGCACAACCTGTGGGTCACGCCATACCACCCGGAGGAACGGTTTCCGGGCGGCGAGTTCCCGAACCAGAACCCCAGGGTTGGCGATGGGCTGTCCTCGTGGGTGCAGCAGAACAGATCCATTGACAATGCTGACGTGGTGCTTTGGTAAGTGATAATTCTGTACGTGATGCTTTATTTTATTTTCTTTCACTGTCTCTTAGATATTTAACCCCCATCCCTTTCCGTTGCATTCCCAACATTGCATTTCCATGCCACCTGGTTTGTGTAGGTACGTGTTTGGCCTCACCCACGTGCCACGGCTGGAAGACTGGCCGGTCATGCCCTGTGAATACCTCGGCTTCTGCCTCATGGTGAGTCGGTGGTTTGGCCTTTAAGGGGCTTTGTGCCTTGGTGCTTTTGAGCTCATGGCTCATCATGCCCTGTGAATACCTCGGCTTCTGCCTCATGGTGAGTAGGTGGTTTGGCTTTTGAGGGATTGTGTGGTTTTGAGGAGCCTCCAATGTACGTGTTTGACCTTATGCACGTCCCTCCCACGGCTGGAAAGCTGGCCCGTCATGCCCTGTGAATACCTCGGCTTCTGCCTCATGGTGAGTTTTTAAGTTCGGAGGTGCCTCAAACGTCCCTCCTATCCCCGGCTGGAAGACTGGCAGGATATGCCTTGTGAATACCTCGGATTCTCTCTCATGGTAAGTCGGCACTCTTCTCATGATGAGGTGATGGTTAACTTTTGAGGCATCTGAAGAGGACCTGCTTGTCATGCCATGCGAATGTATGTGCTTGTAGCAGATTGGCTTATGGTTGCATGCAGTATGTGGCAATGTTGATCGTGCTTGGTGCTTTTTGCATTGCAAGTTGTACAAGCTTGATGGGTCTGATCTACCATGCGTAGACGTATTTGAGTTGTGTGTTTGTGTACCTGTTCTTCTTGGCCTTTCTTACCCCCTTTCCCTCCCTCTCTCCTGCCTTCTGTAATTTTTGCAGCCACATGGTTTCTTCAACATATCTCCTGCTGTTGATGTCCCGCCTAGCGAACCTGAAATTGCTGCTGAAGCAGGCGCTTCTGTTTCTACTCCTAGCGCTAGCAAAGAAGGGAGTGACTGTTGTGGTGGGGCGACTCAGCCGAGCCTCTCGTCAAAACTATGAAAACATATCGGCGTCGTTATATGTAAATGGTTTTATCTATTATTGAGTATTTATCACCACTCAGCTCCCAAACTACAAATGCCAAACTTCGGCCATGGGCTTGAAACTCGTACAGTTTGAACTTTTTTTTTTTTTTTTTTTTTTTTTTTTGGTGAGCATAAGTACACTACATGTATACATACACTCGCAGTCGTAACTGATTCTAGGAGGGCATGCAAGTGGCTACAGGTAACCAGGCCCCCCCTTCCACCTTACGGGGGCTGAAAGGCTACACCGCCATCTTCCCATATGGCCTTGAAACCTGCTCTCCACATCATCGAGGCTTCGGTCTCGTACAATCTGTTCAAAGCTTTTGCCTCGTCAGCATTCAGATGACTCCACTCCCCTGTCCTCTTCGAACCACTCTTGCCAGCCGACCGTTTCCGCACTCTGCTGTAAATCTTCACGTGTCTTGTAAAGCCAACCGCTATGTGCCTCAGTGCTCTCTTAGGCTGAAACCGGCTGCCACGGAACACCGCATTGCACCTCTCCAGCCACACTTGCTGTGCTGTAATTGAAATGATGGCTGCTTCCGGAAAACCTGACGACGTGCCACTCTTCTGGAACAACATGTCTCCGAGGGACTTCATTTCCCTGCCCGGGTTCATGCACTGTACCGCACCCTTCATTACCCTGACCACTGGCTGGATCGCCGGGCAGCTGAATAAACAGTGATCCTGCGACTCCACCCCTCCGCAGTACACACATTTCGCCCTCTCCCCCAGGAAAGGGAGCCTCTCCCCCACTTGCAGGTTGTTGCTGTGCAGCCTCAGCACCACCTCCCTCGCTCTGCATGGGGTTGCCAAAGAGTCCCGGACCGTGATGGCCTTCCCCCAATCGATTTTCTTCCCTGTCACCTCCTCCCACCGCAACTGCTGCTTTGGCTGAGACAAAGAGGGTTTCATCGCCTTCCTCAGCTGCTTCAGCCCGGCTCGCTCCCCTTTTTCACAGATCGGAGTGTATAGCAGCCTTGTTCTCGGGGTTCCAAGCGGGCCGCTGACTCTCCCGTCAATGACCGCCATGGGCGTAGCTCGTAGGAAATTCACCGTCGTCACGTCAGCGTACCTCACCACCGATATGAAACCTTTTTTATCCACTTCCACCATCCTCCCGTACAACACGCCGTCTTCCACGTGTTCCAGCTGGTAGTAGAGGAACTTTCCCGGCCGGTAAGACGGTGAGCAAATAAGCGCCGTCTCCCTAAAAACCTCTTCCGCTGTCAATTGGTTGAGTAGCAAATCCCTCCACCTCTGGGGCGTTGCTTCCCATGCTTTGAGAGCCCACTTCCTCTGTTCCGCACCTCCCAGCTCCTGTTCCAGGACCACCTCACTTTTGAGACTTCTGCTGCCATTTGCACCTTTGGCTATCAGGTCCCCCAGACGGACACCCTTCAAACAGTGCGAGCCCGCCTGGTTTCCGAAAGGCGAACCGCCCCTGAAGAATATCTTGCGGTTAAAAAGCAGCTGCTCCTCCTCCGCATCCCATCTGTGTATAGGGTCGCCCATGGTCACGATCTTCGATTCCCACAGCGCCTTCACTGCCGCCTTCCACCTCGTACCCCCGCCCAGCCAATGCTTCAGCACTGAGGGATGGGCGTAAATCGTGGCCAGCCCGAGTGGGAAGCCGGCCGCTCTCTCCCATAACCAGTTCCGCAGCGGCACGTGTTCCGTCAGAACTTTTCCCAAATTCTGTATCACAATGCTGTCAATCCGCTGCTTCATATCAATCACTCCCAGACCCCCTTCTTTCCTTCCCCTGCACGACAGCTCGTAACTCCAAAGGGTGAAGTGTCGATCAAGAAGCGCTCTTCCACCCGAGATGAAGTTGTGACATAGCCGTTTCACCTTGGTCCAGATATCATGCGGCGGGGCGTAGATCTGTGCTTGGAACAGCAAGATCGGCATCGCGTAGCTGTTAATAGTTGTGACTCTCGCCGACGTCTTGAGATGCTTTGATTCCCAACAGCTCAGCACCGCGCTGACCTTTTCAAATGCTTTGTCCCATGCAGGACCCGGCGACCCACCAGATGTTATCCAGATTCCGAGTAACCGCTCCGACTTGTCCTTGTCAGCCCACGTGAAAGGTGACGCTATCGGCTGCAGCCTCCTCCTATTCTTCCCCAGCGGCATCAGTGTCGTTTTGCTGCCGTTCACCCTCAGCCCCGAAATTTCCGCAAATTCGTCGAGCAGCTTTCCCGCTGTAACCACTTGCTCCTTCCCTCTCAGAACGAGAGTCGTATCATCAGCGTATCCGATGTAGGCTAGCTCCCCCTTCACCCCCCGTTTCCGAACTCCCAGATTTCTCCTCCCTATTTCCTGGCAGAGTGGCTCCACCGCGCAAAGGAAGAGATACGGGGCGAGCGGACAACCTTGTCGCACACCCTTGTCCATCGCCACACGATCTCCTACCCAACCGTTCAGCAGCATCTTGGTTGCTGCTCCGTCGTGTAGACCTCTTACCCAGCGCACATATTTCTCCGGGAAGCCCATGTCACCCAGCGTCTTGAACAGGTAATCTCTCGACACGGAATCGTAAGCTTTTTGAAAGTCCACCAGCAGCAGCAGCCAATCTTCATCCTCCTCCTCCGCAGCGTCAATTACATCTGCTACCAGCGAGACCGCGTCAGCAAGGCTCCTCCCCGGAAGGAAGCCGAATTGCTTGTCCGAGATCACCCGCGGTAAGACGAGTTTGATCCTGTTCGCCATCACTTTCGCCAGTAACTTGTAGAAGAAGCTCAGCAAAGTGATCGGCCTATAATTGCCCAAATCACATCTGTCTCCTTTCTTCTGTAGCAGGATGGTGACCGCAGTTGTGAACGCCTCCGAGAGTACCCCGGTCGACTCGAAGCCCTTAACCTCCTTCATCACAGCCGGGCCGAGTAGCTCCCAGTGGTGCTCAAAAAATTCCTTCGGTAGGCCGTCTTGCCCCGGGGCTTTCCCCAATGGTAGACCCTTGAGCGCCGCTTTCACCTCCTCTTCCGACCATTCCGCTCCTAGTTGCAGTTGGTCCTTCTCCTACAGCATTCTGCTCTCATCTATTGGCCACGGCTCCATGGTATGGTTTGGCGCTGACTCCGCATACGCTTCTCTGAAATGCTCTGAAGCCGCCTGCAACACCTCTTTCGCCCCTTTCCTTTGCACCCCCTTGAGTACTAACTCCAGAATCTCCGTCTTTGCCTTTCTCGATTTGACCAGCCCCGACAGAAAACCGGAGGGCGTCTCGCTCGCCAACTCTATCAGCAGCCCCGTCATGACCTGCAGCCGCTCCTTGTTACTGTCTTGATAGATTTTGAGCGCTGCTTCAGCCTTGACCAGCTCCTCGTACAAGACTTGCGATTTCGCGTCAGCCATCACTTTCCACCGCAGCTCTTCCACCTTCTGCTCCAAATGTGCCAAGGTCGCTCTCACCCTCTTCCTCTCTTCTGCTACATGAGCCCGCATGCATGCTCGCAGGTTCATCACAAGTCTCTCCAGGCTTTGATCTGAGCTGCTCTCATGCGCCGCCACCGCCGCTGAGATGATGTTCTTGACCCCATCACCCCCGGGCCGAGACGTTTGGTGCCTCCACAAGCCAGGACCATGATCATCCGCTGCCGCCGCCTTGAGCGACACCTTCACCACAAACCAGTGGTCAGTCAGACCGTAGGGTACCATACAATGCTTCGCCTCCGTTACACTTCCGAGCAGGGAGAGTGAAACTAATGCCCTGTCAATCCGTGTGCTCGTCCTTGCAGATCTGGAGAAAAAAGTAAAGTCCTTGCGCGTCGGGTGAAGACTCCGGAATGCATCCTGCAGATCCCATCTCGAGCAAATCTGCAGAAGTTTCTGGTTCTCCGCCGGAGTCCCCAGCTTCAAGGACTTATCCAGCTCCGGATCTGCTACAACGTTCAGGTCTCCTATGAGGACTGTATGGGGGGAGGCGTCCAGGCTTTGTACGAAGGGGGATAGCTCATCCCGGAAGAAGATACCCCTAGCGGTTGCCTGCGCCGGTAGATACGCTGCCACTATTCTGCACTTCAGATCCCGCCAGGATACCAGCAGGCTCAAGAGTCGACCAGATGCATGTTTGCTGACTTCTGTGAACCGCATCCCAGGCAGGAAGCCTAAGACCGCTACCCCTCCTGCTCTCTGCGATGGGCCAACCACCGCCTGAGCCTCTGATCTAATTTGCGTCCAGAAATTGTGATCGGCTGGAACACGCGTATCTGTGAGTACTACAATGCTCGCTGCTTTCCTGATCCATGCTGCACACCGTTCTTGTTTCCCACTGCTACCGAGCCCGTTGATGTTGAGCTCGAGAATAGTTAGGTTGTTGTGCTTATTCATTTGACCACTCCTTTGAGCCCCACAGCATCCACGGGCGATTGAGTTTTATTGCGACGATACAGCCAGCTACAGCGAAAGAGAGCATGGCACCGACTACACAACCTGCTCCCAGAAACCATCCTGTTGCCTCCCCCCCTCTCATCGAGGTGCACGTGATCAGGCCGCTGTTCACTTCGCTGACTGCTTGACAATGAAGTCCTTCTTGAAAGCAGCCATCTTCTGGGAATGCTTGCTGGCGCGGGTTGCCGCTCCTTCTGTTCGCAGACCCCCCTTGTGCTTGGCAGCTGCAACGTGAGCCGCTGCTTGTTCGAACCGGTTCCCCTGTGCCTTCTCGCACACGGTCTGCACACACACCCACTCCTCCCGCATCCCTCCTGTGGAGGTGAGAATAACTGCAGGATCTTTCAGGATACGTTTCAGGAGGGTGGTGGCTTTCAGGGATGCAGCTGCGAGGAACGGTAAGGAGAAAATTGTCAGGATAAGGTATGAGAAGTGGAGCAAGCGGTAAAAACTGCAAAGAAAAGGCGTGCGGATCAGCTCGGTGAGTACCGTTCATGTCATGAACCTTTTTAACCGACAGGTTCCAGTTGGTAAAATTCTCCTGTCTTGTCGTGACATAGTGGTCGTGATAGCGCGACATATGCGGACCACTGCAGAACTCGCAGGTGAGTGATGGGTAGTGGAGCAGGTAACGTCTCTTCGTCGTCGGCTCTTCCACAAAATACCTCCAGCGATACTCATCGTCGGCGTGGGGAACTACCAGCCCGCGAATACGGTCAGTATCGAGCCCAGAAACCGAGTCCAGCGTTCGGTGAAAGCCAAAGCCGCTGGCGAAGGCACTCCTGCCTCGCTTGACCAGCTTTGACACCACCAGCAGATGGCGAATAAGCTCCGCAGAGATCTCGGCTGGCACCCCCTTGACCACCACCTCCTGTGCCAACGGGTTCAGAACGCGTTCACGGAGGAAACGCGCATCTTCAGGGAACTGCCAGGTAAGATCGATGATGTCCCCATTCACACACTCATGCTTGATGACCTGGTTCCATACGAAGTTCGCATCTCTGACGTGGTTAAACGTGACTTGCAGCCGACCATAGCGTGTGCCAGAGAAAAAGGTCGCCGTGAGCTCCTGGTAGGTCGTTGTCTGCAGCACATCCGGAGTTAACTGGTCCTTCCAGTCATCCAACAACGCAGCAATCGTCACAGCCGCGCGCTTAACCTCCGCTTTCCTGAGGATCGGCACCAGCAAGGTTAGTGAGAATCGCTTCAAAGCCAAAGCACTGGAAAGCGAAGCAGGTTCCAGGTGCTCGTCCGAGCCATCGCTCAGATACCCATCGTCTTCATCCTCAGGGACCGGATCAGACAAGTCCTCTTCTTCATCATCCTTATTGTCCGTATCAGCAGCACCTTCCTTCGCCGGGCCCTGATCTTGTCCTTCAGAATCAGCCTCGTCAACAGCGGTACCGTCACCAGGGTCAGCAGCATTATCCGCCTTGTTTTGCAGATCTAGCAGGTCTTCAAAAGGACCAAACACGGCAGGCGTCGCTGGTGAAATGGGCCGACTCTTGTCAGCAGCGTCAGGCACAGGTACGTCAGTTACGTTCGTCGCATGCTCCTTTCCGCGGCCACCTTCCTCCGTCTTCTTGCCAGCTTTGTTGTTACGCGGCTTCACCATTGTGCGATGATGAGAGAAGCTTGACAGCCTGAGACTGGCTGTAGGACAAGCTGATACGAGCACCAATATCTCCAGTGTCTTATATCTCCTGTGTTTAAAAGCGAACCTCTGCAGGTCCAGACCCGAGGCGACGAGAGCAACCATTGGGACTGGCCCACACCCTCGAGGAGAGTTATCCTTGGGAAATGATGTGTCGATTTCTGGGGTGTCATTGATGTCGACGCGACTGGATGAAAACGGTAGTAATGGCGCGCGATAGTATCCATGGAGAGGCTTGAAACCTTGATTGTTGTCGTTCAAAGTAAACTTGCTGGATGTATAGTGAAGCAAGGACGACAGCCTGGAACTCAAACAAATGGTGGTTAGGTTCCCGTAATGAACACTAAAAGAGCACCATTGTAAAGAGCCTGTAACCGCGCGTCGTCTGGTAACTTCAATGTTGGCATCAGGCAAGAAATTGATGGACATTGGGGTAGTTAAAGCTCTCCGCCATGGCCATGGCGTCATTGTCATTGTCATTGCAGTGGAATTGTAGTCAGTGAGTGTTTCAAAAACAATTCTTCGACACGCCATGTACAGTTTGAACTATCACAGACTGTTAATGAGCAATGTTATATCGGAGTGTTGGTGCTGCCTCTTTTTTGCTGACAGAGTGTGATACATTTGGCGGGAATTCCAACACATTCCCGGCCTGGTGTGGTTCAGTATCCTCTCAGGAACTGGAATCGTAGTTACCATATGACTTGTTCCCGTAGCAATGCTCTCAATTCCTCATGCGACCTGCTAGGTAGTATGGTTTCTGATGGTAGAGTATTCCCCACTCTACTCGTGCGATCGCGGCGTCACGTTTTTCCTCAGAAAATAATTCACTTTGCTCTTCCAGTCCTCAGCCGCTCGTCCAAACCCTCGAATGCCACATCGTGCACAGAAAATAGGCGTAGGAGTGCGCTCGATTATTCGCTTCGATAAAGGAAAGAGAATAATCGTACAGTCGGCACCACCTAGTTGATGGACATGAACAGGAGGGGAGATAGGCGGGGGTCCAGGCCAATCGTCGAGTAATTTAGGAAGGGAATGCAGTCTTGCTGCAGAGAGAGGGAAGATAGATGGGGAGGCGACGCGGCGTGGTTCGCAGGCAGATACCGCGTAGTGGGAACGGCCAGGGTTATCTTTGAGTCGACTCAAAAGGCGGCAGGCAGTGAGGCTGGCAGCGAGAGAGGCGAGGCGAGGCGAGGCGACATGGTGCGCAGGCAGATTCCGCGCAGTGGGAACGGCCAGGTTACTAGTGATGATGGCCTGCGACCCGCTTTTTGAGGCGCCTCAAAAGTGTAGCTGCACAGAGAAGGTAGATAGAGGGGGAGGCAGCGAGGGAGGGGAGGCGAGGCGACATGGTTCGCAGGCAGATTCCGCGAAGCGGGAACGACCAGGGTAGTGATGATGGCCTGCGACCCGCGGGTGACACTATCGGGGGTGAGGAGAGGCGGCAGCATGGCCAGCGTAGTCATGTGCTGAGGCCTGCAGGTGACACAAACGAGGGCGCGCGAGACACTGACGGGGGTGAGGAGAGGCGGCAGATACCGCGAAGTGGGATCGGCCAGGGTAGTGATGATGACGGCGTGCGACCCGCGGGACGAGAAGATACTTGTGAGGTGGCGAGACGAGATGCAGAGAGGAGGAGTGCAGAGGAGGCCCTCAGACGGGACCCATCGGACCCCAGACGACATGCAGAGAGGAGGACTGCTGACTCCAGAGACGAAGACGAGGGCGAGGACTTCAGAGAAGGCCTTTCTAAGGGAGAGTCTATTTCTGAGGCGCCTCATCCACCACCTCAGCCACCACTGCAAGGCCCGGAGGGTCAATCTAAAGCCAGGAGTCAGCTTCAGGGGCTTTCGATTCGGGAGCAGTATGAGAAAGAATTTGGCGGTTACGTGCATGGGTACAGGTTCGCGCATCCTTCTGCCGCTGCTGGTGCCGCTGCTGGTGCTGCTGCTGGTGCTGCTGCTGGTGCTGCTGCTGGTGCTGCTGCTGGTGCTGCTGCTGGTGCTGTTGCTGGTGCTGCTGCTGGTGGTGGTGGTGCAACTGGTGGTGCTGCTGCTGGTGCCATAGCCGGAGCTATAGCTGCAGGGTTAAGTGTGGAGGAGTTCAGGGCTCTGGAATGTCCTCAGCTGAAAGGTGGGCTTGGAAATTACTTCCCGCCTCAATTTCTTCTTGCAAAAAGTCATTGAGGCAGCAGCAGTGCACGCACACACTTCGTTTGCCATATGGGATACGAATAAGAATGACGTTACCCCTTCCGCTGTGCGGCTTCCCTCCTCGCTTAGCAACAAATCAACGTGTCATACCTTCTTTTCTCAGTCATCAAGCAGCAAGAGCACTGTACACATGCTTGCATGTCGCAGCAGTAACAGCACCTCTCAATCCCTCCCTCCCTCTTCTCTTTCACCAAGCCCCAGTCACTTCCCCCATCCCTCCCCTTCCTGTCCACCAGGTGACTTTTGAGTCGACTCAAAAGTCACTAAGCCCCAGTCACTTCCCCCATCTCTCCCCTTCCTGTCCACCACCATCACAGCGCAGGCTGCATGTACCTTGACCATGCAGCAGCAGCGGTATACACTCGGTCGCAGGTCACAACAATCACGAGAACCCTCACCAAGCTGTCTGATTTCTCCCATGATCCCCATCCACCATCTCACCTCAGGCTGTGTCTATCTGGACCATGCAGCAGCAGCGGTGTACACTCGCTCGCAGGTCGCAGCAGCAACGAGAGCCCTCACTCGCTCCCTCTTCTCCAACCCTCGTGAGCCCTCTGCTCCAGCACTCTCCTCCCATAATCATCCTCCTCCCTCTCTGCCTTCACCCACTTCCTTTCTCCAACCTGTGTGAGCGCTCTCTGTCTCGGGCTTTGACGATGGAGACTCTCTCAACCATTCTCGAGTCGTAAAAAATGGTTGCAGCAGCAACAGCCCTCACCCGCTCCCTCTTCTCCAGCCCTCATGAGTCCGCTGCTCTTATAAGGACTCTTCTTCCTCTCACGATCCTCCCTCTCACTTTCCTCCCTCTCTGCCTTCATCCATTCCTCCCATAGCCACTCTCCTCGCTCTCTTACTTCTCTCTCTCTTGCACTTCCCTCCCTCGCACGTTGCGTCTTGAGATGCTTTTATAGACTTCTACAGTCCGCACCAGAAATCTTCGACCATTCACATTTCTATTCTTTCTTCTCCTTTGTCTGCACGCTACTAGTTATTTCCACGCTATTCCCTCCGTTCCTTTCATCCTCGTTACAGACAGCGCCAGTAGCAGCAGTGCGGCCACGTCAGACGCGATTGAATCACTCCGCATGCAGGTAGGCAGTCCGAGCAGGCAACTCGAGTTTTGAGGCGTCTCAAAACTTAACTCACACCATCACCAGGATCGACTTCATATCCGCGTGTAGTGAGTCGATTTTTGAGTCGACTCAACTTCATATCCAGCTGATCCTGAGGTCAAGCCTCTTGAAATCTCCAGCTCTCACTGCTGCCCTTCAGTTCCTAACCATGTGCAATGCCCCTCCCTCCCTCCACGCCTGTGTCTTCATCAGTGTTGCATGTCCTACAAACAGACTCCAGTGCACACCCACTTGTATCCATGGAACACTTTGTGTTTCACCACATTGCACACCCACTTTCCAAATCTCCATCTCGTCTGGTTCTAGCACCCCCTCCCGCCCTCCACGCCTGTGTCTTCACCAGTGTTTCACGCTTCAGGCCGACAGTTTCAACCCTGCCCTTGAGGTCCTAGCCATGTGCAATGCGCCTCCCTCTCTCTATGCCCGTGTCTTCACCAGTGGCGCCATGTCCTGCAAACTCCCGTGCACACCTTTTTGATATCATTTCCCTATTTGTATTTTCGTCCACTTCTTCTCTTCTCTTCAGGTCCTTGCCATGTGCAAAGCACCTCCCTCCCAATACGCCTGCATCTTCACCAGTGGCGCCACGTCAGCGCTCAAAACAGTCGGAGAGGCGTTCAGATGGGCGGCAGAGAGCGAGCTGGCGATGACGCTGGACAACCACAACTCGGTTTTAGGGATCAGAGAGTAAGAAAGGAAGAGTGAAAGCGGGTCTGGTAATGGGGGATGGGTGAATAAAGGAGGGGATGGGTGAATAAAGGAGGGGATGGGTGAATAAAGGAGGGGGCGTATTTGTTCAGATGGGCGGCAGGCAAGCAGCTGGCGATGACGCTGGACAACCACAACTCGGTTTTAGGGATCAGAGAGTAAGACTTGGGGGGGATAGGAGGGACACTGCTGTGAGGTCAAAGGGCGGATAGAGGGGCGTTCAGATGGGCGGCAGACAGCGAGCTGGCGATGACACTGGACAATCACAACTCGGTTCTGGGGATCAGAGAGTAAGAAAGGCAGAGGGACAAGGGGTTAAGGGTTGAAGGTCGAGGTTTGAAGGGAAGCAGGTCCCTAGGTATAGATAAAGGCGTTCGGATCAGATGGGCGGCAGGCAGCGAGCTGGCGATGACGCTGGACAACCACAACTCGGTGCTGGGGATGAGAGAGTAAGACTTGGGGGCCTACACGGGGAAGGAGTTGGGTGTTTGGAGGGACGAAGGTCACTTGAGCCGAGATGGTGGAAGAGGAAGGGGCGTGTTTTGAGGCGCCTCAAAATGATGGAAGAGAAGAGGGCGTTTTGTTCAGTTTAGATGGGTGGCAGGGAGTGCTGTTATGGCAGGGAGTGAGCTGGCGATGACACTAGTGGACTGGACCACCACGACTGTGTGAGAGTGAGAGTAAGCTCTTTGAGGCGTGTATGAAGAAGTGTTTTGAGACGTCTCGAAACAAACACTTGTTCATACTTGAGGCGCCTCAACTGACTTTTGAGTCGACTCAAAAGGAGTCAGCTGGCGATGACACTGGGCTGGACCGCCACGAGTCTGTGAGAGTAAGATATTTGAGGCGCCTCTAAAATCTCTGTGAGAGTAAGATCGGGCGTTGTTGCGGATAAGAGAGGAAGAATAGTTTAGTTCACCAAACACTTTCTCCGTTGCATTCAGTTCAGATTCTATGTGTTTTGAGTTTTGAGTCGACACAAAATGAGTTTTGAGTCGACACAAAATGAGTTGTGAGTCGACACAAAATGAGTTTGAGTCGACACAAAATGAGTTTTGAGTCAACACAAAATGAGTTTGAGTCGACACAAAATGAGTTTTGAGTCAACACAAAATGAGTTTTGAGTCGACACAAAACGAGTTTTGAGTCGACTCAAAACACGACTCAGTTCACCGAACACTTTCCCCGGTGCATTCAGTTCAGATTCTGCGTACTTATTTTCTGGTGTTTGTTTGTTTGTTTGTTTTTTTTTTTTTTGTGGTGGATTGTCATTAGATCGTTTGTGATGATGATATTGATGTGACATGAAAGTATGCTGTGTTTGTCGTTTTCCTGTGTGCTGCAGGTATGCGCTTAGAGCTGGTGCTACAGTATCCGTGGTTGATATCCGTTATGAGGATGACTATATGGGGAATGACGAGGAGGAAGAGGAGGGAGAAGAAGGGGGTGATGGGGATGAGAGTGAGAGTGGTAGTGAGAATGAGAATGGGAGTGAGATTGAGAGTGAGAATGGGAGTGGAGATGGGATTGAGAGCGGGAATGAGAATGAGAACGGAATTAACAAAGAGGGAAGGAGAGGGAAGGAAGTGGAAGCGGATGGAGTGAGAATAATGAAGGAGGAAGTGAAGGAGGAAGAGGGAGGAGAGGAGGAAGAGGAGGAAGAGGAGGAACAAGAAGAGGAGGAGGAACAGGAAGCAGAGGTGGAGGATGAAGAAGGATCAGAGGAAGAAGAGGAGGAGGAGGAAGAGGAGGGAAGTGATGAAAATGATGAAGAGGAAGAGGATAGGAGGGCGGGAGTGAGGTTGGGAAGTGGGAGGAAGGTCCGATTGGCATTGCGCAGGAGAAGGAGCAAGCCTAAAGCAGAGGAGGAGGAAGAGGAGGAAGAGGAGGAAGAGGAGGAGGAAGAGGAGGAAGAGGAGGAAGAGGAGGAAGAGGAGGAAGAGGAGGAGGAGGAGGAGGAGGAGGAGGAGGAGGAGGAGGAGGAGGAGGAGGAGGAGGAGGAGGAGGTGGAGGAAGAGGAGGTGGAGGAAGAGGAGGAGGAGGAAGCGGAGGAGGAAGAGGAGGAGGAAGAAGAAGAGGAGGAGGAAGATTCAGAATCAGAAGATGAAGAGGAGGGGAAGCTAGGGGTGAGGGTAGGTGGAAGGAAGAAGGTGCGAGTGGTTCTACCTGGGAACAGCAGGAGTAAGCGCAAGGGAGCAACAGAGGAGGAGGAGGAAGAGGAGGAGGAAGAAGAGGAAGAAGAGGAAGAAGAAGAGGAGGAAGAGGAAGAGGGAGAGGAAGAAGAGGATGAAGGAGAGGAGGAAAGGATCGGCGTGAGGGTAGGTGGCAAGAAGAAGGTTCGGGTGGCCTTTCCTGGGAACAGCAGGAGTAAGGGCAAGGGAGCAGCAGGGGAGGAAGAAGAAGAGGAAGAAGAGGAGGAGGAAGAGGAAGAAGAGGAGGAGGAAGAGGAGGGAACGGTGGGAGTGCTGGTGAGAAGGAGGAAGGTTCGATTGGTGTTAGCTGGCAGCAGCAGGAGCAAGCGCACTGATGTGGGGCAGAAAGAAGCTCAAGCAGTCACTGTTGATGATGCTACGGGTAATGTGCGGCAGAAAGAAGCGGGAGCAGCCGTTGCCAATCATGGTAATGGTGTGGGGCAAAACGAAGCCCAAGCAGCAGTCACTGCCGGTATTGTGGGGCAAGCTTTAAGTGCTGCAGATGTCAATTTGAATGCAGGGACTGGTGAAGCAGTGGGAGCAGCAGCAGCGATTGTGAGAGTGAGGGAAGGTGAACTTGTAGGGGCAGCAGCGAGTGTGAGTGTGAGGACAGGTGAACCTGTGGGGGCAGCATCACTTGCTGAAACCAACCTTTCTGATTCCACTGTTCTTGCCGAACCAGTGCTGACCAAACCACAGCATGGCAGGGCTTATTCCGAGCCTGGACAGGAGGTTTGGGCTGGTGTGGCTGAGGATGGTGGCGCCGGAGCTAGTGGGAGTGGGGCGGGTGAGGCTGGGGCAGGTGGGGCTGGGGCAGGAGGAAGAATTGAGGAGAAGGGCTGTGAGGGAAAAGAGGGTGGAGTGGGAGGCTCAGGGTCAAGGGATGTGAGAACAGGGGACGAGGAACCTTCTGAGTCGTCTCAAACATCAAGGGATAAAAGGGAAAGGGCCATGAGAAAGCAACGAGCGGCGTATGGGAAGGGTAGTAGGGTAGATGGAAAAGTGGATGGAAGGGTGGATAGAAGGGTGGGTGATTGTTCGAAGGGCACGGTCATTCAAGGGGTGGTGGAGGGGGTATCTCTTCGCCTGCTGAACCGATTTTCACGGGCGCCAAGAGAAGGGAAGGCACCAACAGCAGCATCTAGCGCAAGCAGGAAAGAGGCTGTTTCTGAGCCGCCTCAAAAGTTGGTTTCAGAGGTGCAGCAGGAGTTGCCGTTTATCCCTTGCCTGTTTGCGATGCCTTCAGAAAGCAATTTCAGCGGGGAGAAGCTCGATTTGAGGGTGGTGAAGGCTGTGAAGGAGGAGAGGTGTTTGGATGGGTGGGAGGGGTGGACGAGGGAAGACAGAGGAGTGGAGAGCGGTGATGGTAGGAGAAAGGGCAGGGGGAGAGGGAAAAAGAGAAGTCAGAAAGAAATCGAAGACGAAGGAGACGAAGGAAGAGAGAAGGGAGGGGATGGCACAACAACCACTGGTGCCTCTCAAGCTCAACAGCAGCAGCAGCAGTTGCGTGCAGACAAGGGAGCATGGGGCGGCCTCTGGGGTTGGCTGGGAGGAAGTCATGGGACGTCCAGTGCAGAAGTGTATCAAGGGCAGGCCGATAGCAGTGGCGCGGCGACTGGTGGTGCTGACAGGGGTGGTGCTGGTGGGGAGGCCCGGGGTACAGATGCTGTAGGCACGGAGAGCAGTGGCAGGTTGACAAGTGGCCATGAAGCTGATAGGGAGGGTGGTGGTGGGGATGGGAGTGGTAGGAGTCGTACTGGTCGTGGTGGTGATGGTGGATGCAGTGGTGAAAGTGATTCTTCTTCCCCGCTTCCCCGGCGCTGGTTCGTGCTTCTTGATGCTGCCAAAGCTGCTGCCTCGGACCCTCCGGACCTCTCGCTCTGCCCTGCTGACTTCGTTGCTCTTTCCTTCTACAAAGTGAGATGTCCTTATCCCGCTTTCGACCCCTCTCCTTCTCCACCACTTCTCCCCGCTGCTGGTTCGTGCTTCTCGATGCTGCCAAAGCTGCTGCCTCGGACCCTCCGGACCTCTCCCACTGCCCCGCTGACTTTGTCGCACTCTCCTTCTACAAGGTGGGTTGCCCTCTCCTCCCTATGCCCCTCCTCTGAGTCCTCTCCATGCCTCCCACCCTCTGGACCTCTCCCACTGCCCCCTGCGGACTTCGTTACACTCTCCTTCTACAAGGTGGGTGGGCTGTCTCTACCCCTCTTCATTCCTCTCCACCTCTCTCCACCTTTCCACACCACCCACTGCCCTGCTAACTTTGTCACACTCTCCTTCTACAAGGTGGGTGGCAGCCTCCTTTTCTCCTTTTCTCCGTTTCTCCTTTTCTCCGTACTCCCTCCTGTTGGTCATTTCCATTCTCACTCCCATTCTCAACCCCACCTTCTACAAGGTGGGTGGCACTCTCACTTCTCCGTTTCTCCTTTTCTCCGTACTCCCTCCTGTCCCCTCATCATTCTGTTGCGATTCTCTGCTAACTTCTCTTCTCTCTGCCTCATTACCTGACTAGCGCTTTCTTACAGCTCCTCACTCCAAGTGGTAACCATCTCTCGCCTTCACCCTTGTTGTCCCACTATAAGCAGATCTTTGGATTTCCTACAGGACTTGGAGCCCTGATCATCCGGCGAGGTATGTATGTTCTCTTCCTTTCATATGCTTCATTCTTCTTATACGCTTCTTCTCAGATGCTTCTCACTTCCCTTCCCGAATGCTTCTTTCTTCTCATATGCTTCTTTCCACGTGCTTCTTTATATGCCTCATCTCATCTTCCTGTAACCCTTGATCCCATATTTCAACCAACTTCCTATCTCTCATCCCTTGTCTCCCTCCTCTTCCAACTCTCTTTGCATATCCCTTTCTTCTCACTCCCAGATGCTGCCTTCATCCTCAGCAAGCCCTACTTCAGTGGAGGTACGGCGAGTAGCATGCGCTCGTTGGCAGTCATGTGATAGTTGTCATCACTAGAAGCACATAGGGAGTACTTCACAGTGCACACTCCCTTTCCTCCACATCCCTTCTTTCGGCACAACCTTTTGTCTCTCCTTCCCTCCGTCCCTCCTTCCCCCTTACAGGCAACGTGTTTGCAGGGTCTGACTTTGTCTCTGCGCTCATCACTAGAAGCACAGTGGGAGGACAACACTCTCCCCTTCCTCCATCTCTCTTGTTTCGGCTCATCCTCTCTCCACCACTTTCTCCTCCCTCCTCCCCGCCTCCTCTCCCCTCACAGGCACCGTGGCAGCAGTCTTTGCAGACTCCGACTTTGTCTTCTCTGCCCCCGTCCATAAAAGCACAGTGGGAGGACGGCACGCTGCCCATCCTCCACACCTCTCCCCTTCGACACATCCTTTCTCTCTCCCTTCCTCCTCCCTTTTCCCCCCCTCACAGGCACCGTGGCAGCAGTGTTTGCAGACTCCGACTTTGTCTCTCTGGGCCCATCGCTTGAAGCACAGTGGGAGCATAGCACACTGCCCTTCCTCCACCTCTCTCCATTCTCCACATCCGTTCTCTCTACTTCTCCCCTCCTCCCCTCACAGGCACCGTGGCAGCAGTTTTTGCAGACTCGGACTTTGTCTCTCTGCGCTCATCGCTCGAAGCACAGTGGGAGGACGGCTTCCCAGCACTCTTTCCCCCCTCCTCCCCTCCTCCCCTCCCTCGTCCCCCTCACAGGCACCGTGGCAGCAGTGTTTGCAGACTCCGACTTTGTCTCTCTGCGCCCATCGCTTGAAGCACAGTGGGAGCATAGCACACTGCCCTTCCTCCACCTCTCTCCATTCTCCACATCCGTTCTCTCTACTTCTCCCCTCCTCCCCTCACAGGCACCGTGGCAGCAGTTTTTGCAGACTCGGACTTTGTCTCTCTGCGCTCATCGCTCGAAGCACAGTGGGAGGACGGCTTCCCAGCACTCTTTCCCCCCTCCTCCCCTCCTCCCCTCCCTCGTCCCCCTCACAGGCACCGTGGCAGCAGTGTTTGCAGACTCCGACTTTGTCTCTCTGCGCCCATCGCTTGAAGCACAGTGGGAGCATAGCACACTGCCCTTCCTCCACCTCTCTCCATTCTCCACATCCGTTCTCTCTACTTCTCCCCTCCTCCCCTCACAGGCACCGTGGCAGCAGTTTTTGCAGACTCGGACTTTGTCTCTCTGCGCTCATCGCTCGAAGCACAGTGGGAGGACGGCTTCCCAGCACTCTTTCCCCCCTCCTCCCCTCCTCCCCTCCCTCGTCCCCCTCACAGGCACCGTGGCAGCAGTGTTTGCAGACTCTGGCTTTGTCTCTCTGCGCTCATCGCTCGAAGCACAGTGGGAGGACGGCACGCTCCCCTTCCTCCAGCTCGCAGCAGAGCTCCCTCCAGGGCTCGCCCTGGTCTCGCGCCTCCCCTTCCCTGCCATTCAACGGTAAGCTCTTACCATCCAAAGCCTTGCTACCAACCTGTGTTTGCAAGCGTTGCCTTACTACCAGCCTGGTTTCTTGGAAGCACAGTGGGAGGACGGCACCCTTCCCTTCCTCCAGCTCGCAGCAGAGCTCCCTCCAGGCCTCGCCCTGGTCTCCTGCCTCTCTTTTTCCACCATTCAGCGGTGAGCGCTTACCATCCAGTGGGTGAATCATGATGCTTACCATCCAAAGCCTTGCTACCAGCCTGCACTCTTGGAAGCACAGTGGGAGCCATTCAGCGGTGAGCGCTTACCATCCAGTGGGTGAATCATGGTGCTTACTAGACTAGCCTGTATGGTTGAATGAAGCACAGTGGGAGCACGGCACTCTCCCCTTCCTCCAGCTCGCAGCAGAGCTCCCTCCGGGCCTCGCCCGGGTCTCCCGCCTCTAATTCCCTGCCATCCAACGGTGAGTTGAGCTCTTATCACCCAGTTTACCCCTCCTCGTGTTTGCTACTAGCCTGTTTTCTCGAGTCACAGTGGGTGGGAGCACGGCACTCTCCCCTTCCCCCAGCTTGGAGCAGAGCTCCCTCCGGGCCTGGCTTTGGTCTCCCGCTTCTCTATCTCGGCCATTCCATGTGAACAATAATTGCCAACCCTTGTGTTTTCTTGAGGTAGCGTTAACCCTGTCAAGGGCTCGTAGGCACAGGCTCCTCTACATGTGGTTTTGAGACGTCTCAAAACTCGTAGGCACAGGCTCCTCTACATGTGGTTTTGAGACGTCTCAAAACTCGTAGGCACAGGCTCCTCTACATGTGGTTTTGAGACGTCTCAAAACTCGTAGGCACAGGCTCCTCTACATGTGAATTGAACAACATGCACGCCCACTCATCCTCTTTATCTCCCGTCTTCTCCTCATGACAATTCCTGTTCTCTCCTCTCTTTTTTTTGGTTGGTTTGTTTGTTTGTTTGTTTTTTTTACCCCTTTTCCAATACAGCCACGTCTCCTCTCTCGCCCTCTTCACCGCCTCTCGCCTCCTCTCCCTCCGCCACTGCAACAGTCAGCGCGTCTGCACCGTGTATGGAAGGCACATGGCCTTGCTGCTGCACGCGAGAAGTGGAGAGCACGAACAAGAGGCAGCGTTGAAGCAGCAGGGGGGAGTGGTGGCGTTTAAAACCGGGGTGCACATTCAGCTGAATGTGCATCAAAGGTTATCCCTTGACTGAGTGGGTTACGAGGTGTGCTTTCAACCCCTTCAAGTCGAAATTCGTTTCCCCCCTCCCCCGCAATTTCGTTTCCCCACGCCCCCGCAATTTCATTTCCCCCTCCCCGTCGAAATTCGTTTCCCCCCTCCCCCGCAATTTTGTTTCCCCCCTCCCCCGCAATTTCGTTTCCCCCCCCTCCCGCCAATCTGTTTCATCCCTCCCGCCATTCGGTTTCACCCACTCCCGCCATTTCACCCCCTCCCGCCACCTACGAAATGCCCGAAGCTCTAGCGGAATCATTTTTTTGTCGCCCCTCGTGAGCCAATCACTGTTTTTCTCCAAACCCCCTTCCCAACATCTCAAGCCGAACCGCGTTGAATGTGCACCCTGGTTTTAACTTGAAGCGCAGCGATGGATCGTGGGTGGGGCACAAGGAGGTTGAAAAGCTGGCGGCTATTCACAGCATTCATCTCAGGGTAAGATATATTTCTAAGGCGCCTCAAGAGGTAATAGATGCTTTTGAGAAGCTAGCTGTTATTTACCTCCTCCTCTGACGCTTTCTCTGGTTGCTTCTGTGACCCTGGCGCGGTGGCGCCTGTGCCAAGCACCTGCGCCTCTCACACGCCCACCTCCTCCGAAATTACAACTCGGGGCACTTGTTTATGTGCTGGGATGACAAAAAATAACCTATTGCTCCCACCCTCATCCCTTCCCTTTACCCCATCCACCAGACCGGTTGTTTCTGCAACCCGGGCACCTGTGCCAAGCACCTCCGCTCGTCTCATTCCCACCTCTTCCAAAACCACCAATTGGGGCACGTGTGCTGGGAGGACTTTTGAGACGTCTCAAAAGTCGTCTTTTGAGACGTCTCAAAAGTTGTGCTGGGAGGGCCCTAAATAACCCATTGCTCGCCTGCTCACCTCCCCTCTCCCCCATGCAACAGACTGGTTGTTTCTGCAACCCTGGTGCCTGTGCCAAGCACCTCCGTTTGTCTCATTCCCATTTACTTCAAAACTACGAGGCGGGGCACGTGTGTTGGGACGACAACGACGTGATTGCGGGGCGGCCGACTGGTGCCGTTCGGATCTCCTTTGGACACCTGTCAACCATTGATGACGTGGAGGTGAGCTGGGCTGAGTTGAGTGCCTGTTTGTTCAGCTATATCTCGTTTGGACACCTGTCAACTTTTGCCGCCGCTGTGGAGCTCGTTTGGATTGAGTGTTGGTTGTCCATCAAATCTCCTTTCAACAATACTCCTGTCGGAACTTTCCTGTCCACTGCTATTCACCCTTTTTTTATATTATTATTATTTAAAAAAATTGGTGAAAGATCCTTGTCGTCTGATTTTTTTTCCTGGCCTCGTTGCATCCTCCTCTGCTACCTGACGCAAACCCGAAACCCCACTGTCTGCCCCAACGCAAAACCCCCCTCGCCCACCCGCACCTGTTGTCCAATTGCTGCAGGCCTTCCTCTCCTTCATCCAAACATGCTTCGTGGAGCTGCCACGTCAGCACACTCCACCTCAGCAAAGCCCACGTCCGCACGGTCCACCTCAGCACACCACCTCTGCTACCTCTGCTGCTGCTGCCACTACTGCTACTCCTGCCGCCACCTCTGCCGCTGCTGCTGCTTCCGCTTCTGCCTCTTCTGCTACAGCCGCTACAGCCGTCGTTGCTGCTGCTGCTGCTGACGTTGAGAAGCTGGATAAAGGGCGTTTCACTTTTGAGTCGACTCAAAAGTCTGCTGTTGCTGATGATGATGAGGAGAAGCTGGATAAAGGGCGTTTCACTGATGGAATAGCAGGCCATTCTGAGCAACGGAAGGAGCTTGTACAAGCAGATGTGACTAAGGAGAATGTTTTGCAAGCACGTGTGCCTGCGCAGAGCGTGACTGTAGAGGGGCTGTTTGTGTATCCGATCAAGTCGTGTGCTCCCATGCGAGTGGAAGCATGGCCACTGGGACCCACTGGTAAGTGCTTGATATTCTAGGGTATAGAGCGGTACAGTGTGGTTAGGGGTAATAGTGTGCTGTATAGCATGCATTGAGCTGTGTGTCGTGTGCTCCCATGCGAGCGGAAGCATGGCCGCTTGGACCCACTGGTAATTCCCCTCATGCGATCCAATGCCATGCCATCCCATGCCATCAGGTTTGCTGCATGACCACGAGTGGCTGATCATCAACCCCATGGGCACTCTACTGAGGCCCAACATTCTATACACCCTCACCCCCACCCTTGCCCTGCCACCTTTGCCACGCCACCCACCATGCTGTATCAACCATGCCATCAGGTTTGCTGCATGACCGCGAGTGGCTGATCATCAGCCTCATAGGCACTTTTCTCAGGCCCAATATAGTACACACACCCACCCGCCCGTGCCATGCCTACCCCATCCCAACCATGCCCTTCTGTCCGTCCCACTCTCCCATTGCCACAGGTCTGCAGCATGACCGTGAGTGGCTCATCTCATCGTCAACCCCTTGGGAACTCCATTGAGGTCCAACATGCCATACACCCCCACCCATGCCATCAGGTCTCCTGCATGATCGGGAATGGCTTATCGTCAATCCCATGGGGACACCATTGAGATCCAACAGGGTGAGCAGCTAGCATTCTCATAGGCACTCCTCTTAGGCCGCTAAACCCCTAAACACTTCATCACGCTTCATCACACACGCTTCACCGCACCTCACCGCACCTCACCGCACGTCACCTACTTCATCGCACTTGGCTGGCCGGTCTCTCCTCATACCCACCTTCCTCGTCCCTCTGCTCTTCACCCACTTCCCTTCATTCTTGCCTTATTTGCTAATATCTCCATTCGTCTCCCCCTTCCCAACTCCCCCACTCGGCCCCCCTCCGTCTACCATTCCCCCTCCATCCAGCAATCTCGCATCTCACCGCCTCCGCTCCATCCACCTAAATTCCCAAACTCTCCCTTGCTGCTCCTTTTCATGCCCCCTCCCCTCCCCCTTCCTCCCAACCCTCACAATCAGGCCCCCTCCCTTTACCGCCTCCACCCATCCATCGGCCTCGCTTCACGCCTCCTCTCCATCCACCTTCACTTTTCAGGGCACCTCTCCTTGTAACCCATAATTTCTCTGGTCTCAGTTCCTGTTCTCTCGCCCTGCACACCCCCAAACCACTCCCTCACAACCAGGGTCCCTCTCTCTACCGCCCCCGCCCATGCATCGACCTCTCCGCACGCCTCTTCTCCATCCGCCTGAGTCCCCTCACTCCTTTCCTCTCATCCACTGCTTCTGCGTCCCTCCCATCCCCCTCCCCCCCAACCAGGTCCCCTCCCTCTACCGCCTCCGACCCTCCATCGACCTCACCTCTCGCCTCCTCTCCATCCACCTTACTCCCCAAAACTCTCTAGTGGTCTCTCCCTCTTCTCAATTTCCTTCCCCCCTTCCCTCCTCCCCTCAACAACCAGGTCCCCTCCCTCTACCGCCTCCGCCCATCCATCGACCTCGCTTCACGCCTCCTCTCCATCCACCTTACTCCCCAAGGCTCTCCGTCCCGGCCTCCCCTTCAATTGCCCATTGACACGTGGCCTGATGCCAGGCTGGATGGCGTGCGAGTGTGCGGTGACAGGTGCGTGGGTGGGTGTGGATGGGTGTATGTGGTTGTATATGGGTGTATGTGGTTGTATATGGGTGTATGTGGTTGTATATGGGTGTATGTGGTTGTATATGGGTGTATGTGGTTGTATATGGGTGTATGTGGTTGTATATGGGTGTATGTGGTTGTATATGGGTGTATGTGGTTGTATATGGGTGTATGTGGTTGTATATGGGTGTATGTGGTTGTAGATGGGTGTATGTGGTTGTAGATGGGTGTATGTGGTTGTAGATGGGTGTACACGGTGCGTACGAGAGTACTGTCCTCCTGCCCTGTCTCCCCTCCAATTGCCCGTTGACACGTGGCCTGACGCCAGGCTGGATGGGGTGCGAGTGTGCGGTGACAGGTGTTTGGCTGACTACATACAGACGGCTATGGATGGGTGTGGATGGGTACGGAGGGCTGTGTAGTGTAGGTTTGTTGTATGTGTTATGTGGGTCATGTCCAGGTGTCGTGCACAAATGCCCCTCTACCCAGGTTGGATAGTGTAAAGCCACCCGCTTGAATCCAAGCAAGTGACATGGACCATGAAACATGCCTTTAGGTGAGTATAGAGGTGCCTCAAAACTCAAATGCCCATTTACCCAGGTTGGCGAGTGCAGAGCACATGTAATTTCAAGCGACATGCACCATGAACATGCCCCTCTCTCATGTCACACACATGCACATAGGACATGCCGTTTTTCCCTCTCTCTCCCACTCACTCATTCACTCATTCCATTTCCTCCATTGTGTTGTCTTCCCATCGTCCACATCAGCGTCCACGTGGCAGTGTACCCTGGTGACGTGGCAGCCTGGCTCTCCACTGCCCTCGGCACGCCTTGTCAGCTCGTGAGGCTCCTACCGCACGCGCGCCAGCAGAAGAAGCTGCCAAGAAGCATCCTCAACAGTCAGGACAACACCCGAACCAATCAGATCACTGAAAATCACTCCAGCCGTAACGAATCTTCCCAATCCGCATCCTCCTCTCGATCCTCTCCCTCCTCTCCCTCCTCTCCCTCCTCTCCCTCCTCTCCCTCCTCTCCCTCCTCTCCCTCCTCTGCCCCCTCTCTCTCGCTAGCCAATGAGGCACAGCTTCTAGTGGTCTCATCTGCCAGTCTGGTTGATCTTCAAAAGAGAGTGGCACATGGGACAGACGGGGAGTTGATGAAAGGAGAGGTAGCGGAATTAACCGGGAGAACAACAGGAGTGCATGAAACTCTGCAAAATAAGCAAGTCAAATCTGGTCCCACGCCGTTGCTAGGGTCTCAATCTGCTGCGCTTCCTTGCTGCCCTGCCGATTGGAGCCTGATGCTTGGTAACTCTGCTGAACCTAATGGCCTGGGCTCAGGCTCGGGAATGGATCAAGCTTATCCAGCAGCGACAGTACAATCTGCCACGTCAGCAGGGTTCTCTCAGGCTGCTGACGTGGACAGAGATGCGGAAGCAGATGCCTCGTGGGCATTGCGGTTTCGCCCCAACTTCGTGGTGGGCGGTGCTGACGTGGCGCCATACGATGAGGACAGGTGGAAGCAGCTGGTTGGTCAAGATGTTTCCTTTGAGGTGAGCAGTGCTTATCTTGATGGTGCTTATCTTATTCATTAATTCCGTTTAAATCAGCACTTTGTCTGTTCGTCATCAACCCCCTTGTTCCCCTCTCTTTATCTTCCCCTCTCTTGCTCTACCCATTTCTCTTCACATCACACTATCTCACACATACTCACACCTGTCAACACAAAAATAATCACACAATCGATGTCTCCTCGGTTGTCCCTTTCAACATTCCTCCCTCCCTCCTTCCCACCATTTCCTTCCCTCCAGTCCCTTGCTCCCTGCAGCAGGTGCGCCGTCATCAATACAGACCCTGCCACAGCTGTAATCTATCTATCCTACCTTCTCCTTTTCATAATCCCCTTCTCCCCTCCCACTCTCTTCTTCCTGCTCCCCTTTTCCACCAGTCCGTTGCTCCCTGCAGCAGATGCGCCATCATCAACACAGACCCTGCCACCGGCCAATCATCAGCTCCCGAGCCACTTCGGACCCTATCTGGTTACCGCAGGCACAAGGCAAACATTAACTTTGGTATCCTCTTTACAGTCAGGCTCCATCAAAATTTAACCACAGAAACTAGTTTGTTGTACCCAGACTCATTGGCAAATGAGGCAAATGCAGCACAAGCGCCTGGTACTAGGACTGAAGGAGGACCGTTGGTATCTGTAGGCCAAAATTTTGCTGTCATGTATGGATAATTTGTTCTAAAAAGGGTATAAGTGCTTACTGGATTCCTCGTACATAACCGTGAATTTTTATTGGAAAAGAACCGAAATGAGGTTCAAAGAGACAATACCCCTGCTTGGGTAATGAAAACGGACACGTGTATAATTTAATTTAAGTTGCCCTTCGATTTTGAACGCGTTAGTCATCACAATAGTGGCCTACTCAATGGAGGGAATAATTTTGCGTCCCAATCCGACCGAATTTACGAACCTGCTTGGGGCAAGGAAATCTGACAATGTGGACTGGTGTTTCATCGCGATTGGGGGATCAGGTTGCTTTCGGGCTTGGGCGATGGGGTTGCTCCCTCCTCCCTGAACTGGAAGCTGGGAGCATTCCTGGGGACTTGGCTCCACGTCAGCAGAAAATCCGAGACTGCGAATGGCGTTTCTCGTGGTGGCACGCTTCGGATGCCGTCACCCATTCCCAATGACCACGTCACGCATGCGGGGAGTGTATGCTACGTTCAAGACGGCGAGTTTTTATTAACTAAGATTTGGTTCTGCATTCCTTGTTGTTGTCAAGAAACCTGCAGTTATTGCATAAAGTGTCGAACTGACGGTGTTTAAATCTTGCAACGTGACGGTGAGATGTCAATGTAAACAGATCTCCCAACCCTGATCTTTGAGTGTGCCGGGGAGTTCACTGGCCTAGACCCCATCTCTTCAAAACACAGTCACTACCCTCCTAAATTCTCCCCATACTTCAATACCCCTTGATAAAACTGTAGGGCCTATCACTGACACGTTTGTGAACAGCCGTTACCACTTCGGCTTTGAGAGAAAAAAACTTTTCGAAGCCCCTCCTGTTCACACGTGCCAGTCAGACGCCATGGCTCTCTCCCTGTGCGCGAAGTCGAGCCTTGTCTCGGCCGCTGGCCTGCAGCAGCGCAGCGCTGCCCAGGAGAGAAGGCAGACCGGCGCCTCGCTCTCAGCGTCGCTCGCCCACTCAGCCGCTGCACCGTCGTTCAAGGCGTTCGATGGCATGCGCGCTCACTCCGCCTCCTCCTCCGCCTCGTCCTTCCTGCCCGGCGCTAAGGTTGCTGCGCCTGTGGCCGCGGAGGCTCCGGCTGCTGACGCTGCTGAGAATTGTTTCACCCTGACCATTGTGGCTGGCAGGAACAGCAAGAAGATTCAAGGAAGGAAGCTCCGCGTCGCCGGTGAGTAACGGCCGCCATCATCTTCTTTTCCTGAGCGAATAACGCTGACTTCAGATTCGCGTCTGTCCCAGATCGTGTTCTAAACTGCACATTACCTTGAATTCCACTATATACTCCACCAGGATTGCAAGCTGTACCGAAACTACCAGATTCTATATTAGCTTGCCCTCTGGCAACTAAAACTCCCACGGCATTCTTCTTTCCGCCTTCCAGAATGCTATCTGTTTTTCCTGTTTTACCAACTTCCAACCTTTAACAAAGATTTCCGGATTTCTTTTACACAGTTATCGGAGGCGGCCCGGCGGGCGGGTGCGCGGCGGAGACGCTGGCGGAGAACGGCATCGAGACGTTCCTCATTGAGCGCAAGCTCGACAACGCCAAGCCGTGCGGTGGCGCCATCCCCCTCTGCATGGTCGACGAATTTCAGGTAACTTTCGCCAACTTTCGCGAATTCCTGTGCGACGGAGACGCTGGCGGAGAACGGTATCGAGGCGTTCCTCATTGAGCGCAAGGAGGAGTACATCGGCATGGTGCGCCGCGAGGTGCTCGACGCCGGACGCCTTCCTGCGCCTCACCAATCCCTCTCCTCCGTCTTTCTTCCCCTTGTTTTTGGATTTTTTTTTCGCCTGGAATTCCTTCTTCCGTCCGTTCAGCTTCCCCAGGAGATCATCGACAGGCGCGTGACCAAGATGAAGATGATCTCGCCCTCCAACGTCGAGGTTGACGTGGGTCGCACGCTCGGCAAGGAGGAGTACATCGGCATGGTGCGCCGCGAGGTGCTCGACGCCTTCCTTCGCAACCGCGCCCAGTCGTACGGCGCGACGGTGATCAACGGGCTGTACCTGAGGATGGACGTGCCCAAGGATGACGACAGCCCCTACGTCATCCACTACTCCGACTACGCCGGCGACTCCAAGGTTCGTGCCTTAGAGTCGGAGTGAGCGTTGCACTTTGCGAGGGCATTCCATTGTGAGCGCGACGGTTACCAACGGGCTGTATTGCCCAAGGATGACGACAGCCCCTACATCATCCACTACTCCGACTATGCCGGCGACTCCAAGGTTCGTGCCTTAGAGTCGGAGTGAGCGTTGCACTTTGCGAGGGCATTCCATTGTGAGCGCGACGGTTACCAACGGGCTGTATTGCCCAAGGATGACGACAGCCCCTACATCATCCACTACTCCGACTACGCCGGCGACTCCAAGGTTCGTACGAGCCGAGCCGGTCACAAGGCGCTTCCGGATGCTCCCACGGTTCGATGGTAACCGGTCGTGTAGCTGGCTCGTGCGCGTCGTGCCGCTTGGCTGCGTGGCTTCGCAAGCCGGGGAAGGGGTGGTCGTTGGCTTTGCGATGAGGAAACTTGGATTGCCTGCCGGCTTTCGAATCTAGTCCGGCTGTCTGGTTCTCTGTCTTCTCTTGCGGATCTGAATGGCGAAAAACAAATAGAAAAATACGATTGTCGTTTCCTGACGTGTCTGTTTCCACATCTGTAATTGGTGTCCTGCCTTGTGATTGGTCAATGCAGGTCGGCGTGCCCAAGACTCTGGAGGTCGACGCCGTGATCGGCGCTGATGGCGCCAACAGCAGGGTGGCCAAGGACATCGACGCGGGTGACTACGACTACGCCATTGCGTTCCAGGTGAGGACACACGCTTCAGTGTTCCGCGATTCTATGTACTACGAGGATGACGTGGAGATGTATGTGGGCGATGACGTGCCCGTTGACTCACTCTACCCTACCCACCCTACTCACTCTACCCTACCCACCCTACTCACTCTACCCTACCCACCCTACTCACTCTACCGTACCCTACTGTACCCTACTCTACCGCACCCCACAGGAGCGTATCCGCCTGCCGGAGGACAAGATGGCGTACTACGAGGATCTCGCTGAGATGTACGTGGGCGATGACGTGTCGCCCATTGACTCACTCTACCCTACCGTACCCCACTCTACCCTACTCTATCGCGCCCCACAGGAGCGCATCCGCCTGCCGGAGGACAAGATGGCATACTACGAGGATCTCGCGGAGATGTACGTCGGCGATGACGTGTCGCCCGACTTCTACGGCTGGGTGTTCCCTAAGTGCGACCACGTGGCGGTCGGCACTGGCACCGTTATCAACAAGCCCGCCATCAAGCAATACCAGACCGCCACCAGGTGCGTTGGGACCTCATAATGCCCGGGCCTCTTTTCCCACACTCCGTGCTGCCTTTCCTACACGGATCGTGCCAAGGACAAATTGAGGGAGGTAAGATCTGGTCAATCTTTCAGGCGTTCACACTCTCTCAACAGCACGCATTTTGTCTGAGCATGTCTCTCCACACTTCCTGCCGCCTTTCTCTCCCCCTCAGGAACCGCGCCAAGGACAAAATCGAGGGAGGCAAGATCATCCGCGTGGAGGCTCACCCCATCCCGGAGCACCCCCGCCCCCGCCGGACATCCAACCGCGTGGCTCTCGTTGGCGACGCTGCTGGCTACGTCACCAAGTGCTCAGGCGAGGTGTGTTGCTGCTGAGTGATGGGATTGAGCAATGTGTGTGTAATGCCACAATCCCTGGTGCCTTTTGACATCCAACCGCGTGGCTCTGGTTGGTGATGCTGCTGGCTACGTCACCAAGTGCTCAGGCGAGGTGCGTTGCTGCTGACTGATGGGGTCTGTGCTGTTCGCATTTTGGTGTTGCACGTTTTGAGATTGGGAAAGGGCATGTGCATGGCATGGTGCACGAGACCCCCAGTCCTCTATGGCTGTACCCATTTCACACTCAGTAGTTTTATACTATACATGGAGCTAACCCATTTCACCTCTTTCCACCCCCCATTCCCCCACTGTCCATGCTAAGTTGGGGCGCATGGCAGCAGAAGCGATCTTGGAGGGTTTTGAGAAGGGCACTCGCATGGTGGACGGGTTTTGAGTAGGGCACTCGCATGGTGGACAAAACGACAAGGCCCCTTGCTGCCCTGCCCCCAAGCCCGCCCTTGTCACCTGTGCCGTACTTTGTGCTCACCCTTTGCACCGCTCTCCACCTCCCATCACACCACTCTCCACCCCCCAGGGCATCTACTTTGCGGCCAAGTCGGGGCGCATGGCAGCAGAGGCGATCGCTGAGGGGTCTGAGAAGGGCACGCGCATGATCGATGAGTCTGACCTGCGTGTGTACCTGGACAAGTGGGACAAAAAGTACTGGGCCACCTACAAGGTAAGGCCCTCAATTCATACTCCTTTCATTGTAGGAGCAACTTAGTAAGTTGCGAGTGCCAAGGGCACGTGCATGATCAATGAGTCTGACTTGCGTGTGTACCTGGAGAAGTGGGACAAGAAGTACTGGGCCACCTACAAGGTGAGAAGATCTGATTGGATTTAATTAAGCTGGATGGTTTTTCTTTCTTTGTAGTGAGGTGGTGCTGCTCCTTGTTCAGGGTGGAAAATTGAGGCAGGCATAGCTGCGAAATCCGGATCTGTGTTTCCATCATGCCATTCAATTCTAATCTGTGTGTTGCAATCCTTTTTTTCCCCTGTTTTGTCCAGGTGCTGGACATTCTCCAGAAGGTGTTTTACCGCTCCAACCCTGCTCGCGAGGCGTTCGTTGAGATGTGTGCAGACGACTACGTGCAGAAGATGACGTTCGACAGTTACCTCTACAAGACGGTCGTGCCGGGCAACCCCCTCGATGATCTCAAGCTGGCCGTCAACACCATCGGCAGCCTGATTCGCGCGAATGCTCTCCGCAAGGTTGCCCTCGAGAAGGCCTAGGTTGTTGAGGCTGTTTTTATTAGTCTAGATGTGTATACTGGCTACATCACATTGTTGCGTTTACATTAACTGCTGAAAATCACAAAATCTTGGAAGAGGGGTCTACAGCAGTAGTGGGTTCTGTCTTATAGTTCATGAACCATACAAGAGACAACTACCGTACATTGAGAATCTGGAAACTACCTTGTTTGATTGAGGAACCGATTCGAGTTTATATATAAATCGTTTGGGTGTGTGTACATCTGTAGTTATTGTCTAGCCAAACCTGTGTCCCACAACCCTATACCGGGTTTAAGCCCTGGAGAGTTCCAAAACACGCGACAAGAGGTTTTGCCTGCGAAGTAGTGCCAGCACCCCTAGCCTTTTTACGTGTGCACTGGATCCTAGCACTGCATGCGCGACTCTGTTGATAAGATGCTCTCCAGGAAATATGCAACTGTACAGAGATAGCCCGCTGACGTGGAGGGAGAGTTACTTACCTCTCCATCTGGCGCAATCTCACGACGACCTTTCTCCAACCCCCCCAGATCGTACTGCTAACGTTCCGCGGGCGTCAATGACGCCGTAAGCATCGTCTGCGTGATCCCATTACGGGACCCAGTTACGGAGGCCGCGGACCGTTCTTCCTCACCAGCCCCCCTAGGCACAGATCGCCAGAGGGGCTTTGCTGCAATATTTATTTCGAGATGTTTCGTGTTCCGTGTGCAGATATTTTGCGCCTGTTTTCCGTAGGGGCCGCGCGCAACCCTAAGGATGGGTGTCGCTACACAGACGACCTGGTCTGACTTCCGGTTCCGCGAGCCATCAATCGTACAGCTCGTTTCAGGCAAGGCCTGGAACCTCAAGACCCACGTTACTACAGGCATGCTGGGGATGTTCAAGCTCAACACTTTGAGCATAGTGGTGGCTCCGGGTCCGAAGCCGTCACGGTGCCTGTACTGCCAGCACCGTCAGTGACGGCGTCACCCCATGGCGAGTACTCGCACGGGGGATCTTTGGCATCAGCGTGGCACACGGGCCTGTGGGACTGCTTCGGAAACGATTACCCAGCGAACAGCAACGATTGCGACATCTGTACGTCGATACACAAATTTGTCGCTCCCTCCTCGATCCGTCCCTGGCAGCTAGGTCTAAACTTGTCCTGATCTGTTTCTTTTCTCGCTCGCTTTCACTCCTTCGTTCGATGCTTGATTCTGATAATTTGCGTACGCCCTTCTCTTCCCATCCCAGGCTGCCTGGGTTTCTTTGCCCGTGTGTGCTATTTGGCATCAACCGGGAAATGCTTACAGACAACGAGAGCGAGTGCTGTGGCTGCTGCTGCGCCTACTTTCTCGTGAATTGTTATGTCCCACTTGTGGACATTGGGTACAACCCTGCTACTGCGGCGTTCTCTCTGCTCGCGTTGTGCACCTCGCTTACACGAACAAAGATCAGAAACAGATACGGCATTCAGGTGCGTGTCTTGTGTGGCTTCAGCATGGTTCTACAACTTATTTGTCTCCTGAACATTTATACTAGTGGCTTTCACAAGGAACAGCTCAAGGTTCTGGCATCAATCAAACCGCCTTCTATAATATTTTTTTACATATTGATGGCTTTTACATTCTCCCTTGGGCCTGCTTTTTGCGTTACAGAGAGGCGAAATTCTTATTCAGGGATCCGCATCCAGTCTGCGAGAGGGTGTGTGATTGCTGCATCCACACCTTATGCCTGGGATGTGCTCTTTGCCAGGAGTCTCGCGAGCTTATGCGTAGAACAACTGCTGGAAAGGGAAAGTATCCCTTGGAGAAGCCTACTGTAGCTCCTCTAATACAGACAACGACGGGGTCGCTGTTCTCATGAGTTGGTGCGTGAGCAAGATGGTTTTGCATGCATGTGATGTAAAGGCATATACGGCGTAATTATGTAATCAGCATACACACAGTACAAACAACTGATTATTTGGCCCTTCGCAATCTATATCTACAGCTGCTGTGCCACCACTACCATCGCCTTCAACGGAAGACGCCCTTCCCAATGTTACAAGCCACTCACTATATGCCCCCTCCCTCTGCTCAGCTCATCCTCCTTTTCGTGCCTCTCTGCCTCCTGCACCAGCTGCTCTAACTCCTCCTTGCTCAATCGCCACATTGTGAAAGCTTGCTACCGTATTCTCCCGGATATAAGACCCGGGGGACTTTCCTAAAATAGAGGCAAATTGGTTAGGGTGAACATTTAATCGGAACGAGTTGTATAAGACCCGGGTACACTTATTAATCAAGTACAGTTATGCGATTTAGGGTGTACCATTCGTTTTTTTGGGGGGGGGGGGGGGGACTTTTATTTTGCACGTCCAAATCCACCGCTTACAGCACTCCGAACCTCATATCGCGTGTGACACGCGTCGTCCAACTAGGCACGTCTGTTCCTTTAGCGACAGAGCGAGGGACAGGCTCTGGACGTGGTGCGGAACGGATCCCTCACAACTCCAGCAGGCAGCCGAGCTTGTCACATCGTACCCCAGCGCTGTGTCTATTGCTTCTGATTCACTTTGTTCGCTCAGCCGCACTACAAAGTGTTAGAATTTAAGCTGTCTGAATAGGATCGTAGTCTTAGGATAGTAGCTTCCTGTAGCAGTGGAAGTCTTTATATGAGTGACTTGTAACAGGATCAATATCTCTGAAATCAAGTATATTAAGAAATGACAAACATGCAGAATATATACTAGGATAAAGTACCTATTCGCCTAATGTACCTTTTAGCCTGAAACGGTACGAGACTATTCGTGATACCTACAGCTACTGCTGACGTCATCCTAGAGCGCGTAGCGCTTTGCTGACGTCAGCCTATCGGTACTTTTACTGTACTAACTACACTACACGAATTCCTTGAAGTGCACAAGTCTCGATATTATCTCAACACAAAGAACGGCTCATGGTGCTAGTAGGTCGTCATGCGCCCCAAGTACGATAGTTTAGCAATAGAGTTCCACCATGTCGGCTTTCGAAAGCCCTTGGCGTACGCGCCGTGCCTCGATGACTTCATCGCGGCCGGCCATCGTTGTGATTACTAGCCCGCGTCCGCCAGCACCACCTGCGCCTCCCGCACCTCCTGCCCCGCCTGCTCCACCGACGCCGCCTGCGCCACCCGTGTTTCCCTCGGGTTTCGTTTCCCACCAAGACCGGCCTCTCTTCGAGCCCCCGGACGAGCAGGGCTTTCCCGCGCCAGAAGACGTCAGCGAAAACCGCGATGAGACCGACGAGGCGGCCTACGGTGTTGGCGACTTCCCCATCCCCACCTTTCCCGAAGACCTCGTCCACGATGAAGGTGGTCCCGAGGCAACGAAGGACTCTGCGCCTGCAAGTCCGCGTTCTCGCAAGAGTACGCACCGTCGCACGGCGCGCACCATGGGTGAGAAGTGGCAGTGGCTTCTGCGGATGAAAGACGAGAATCTGTCAATTCGTCACACGGCCCGTCTTGCAGGGGTTCAGCCAATCAGCGTCCGCCGTTGGCTGAGGATCGCGCAGGAGATCGAAAAGGCTGCACCGTGCAGGCGTCGGCTGAAGGGTGGCGGTCGGCGGGCGAAATACCCCGACATGGAGCAGGCCGTGTACAAGAAGCTCCTGAACTTCCGCGGCAGGGGGTTAGCAGTCCCGATCAAGTTCATCAGGCAGTGGAGCAGGACGTTCATGAAGCACCACCACCCGGACGTCGCTTGGATGGCTTCCGCGCGCTGGACGTTTCGCTTCCGTGCACGGTGGGGCCTCGCCATCCGTGTGAAGACGAAGATCAGGCAGCGCCTCGCGAAGGGTATGTATAATTTGCTTCGCGACTCATTGACCCTCCGTGTTAGTGTATAAGCCGCCTCTCGCTGTTTACCTGGGTGATTCACTTCGTTTACCGGTTTTTTTTTTTTTTTTTTTTTTCGTTTGCAGATTGCAAGCCCAAATGCGAGTCTTTCTGGGAGTTCATACGGCGGAACGTCATCAAGTGGAGCATCGACACATGGAACGTCATAAACGCGGACCAGACCCCTGTGTTCTTGGAGATGCCGTGCGACCGGACTCTTCACCACCGCGGCGAGAAGTCTGTGCACGTTCGCAGCGCGGGGTACGAGAAGCAACGGGTGACCGTGATGCTGGGCGTCACGGCGGACGGACGCAAGCTCCCAGCGATGGTCATTTTCAAGCGCAAGACCATCCCTAAGATCCGCGTGCCGCCAGGTAATTTTCGTATTGGCCCTGAAGCCGCGGTGGGTGATACCTCAGTACGTTTAACAATCTCCCCGTGCACTTGCGTGTTTCTCGTATGCAGGTGTCATCATCCGCGCTCATGAGAAGGGGTGGATGGACGGCAAACTCGTCGACGACTGGGTTAACAACGTCCTTCTCCCCTTCATCAAGCCGCCTCGTGGCATCCGTCGGTCCAAGACCCTCCTGGTGTTGGACTCCTACCGTGGACACATCACGGACGGCGTTCTTGCGAAGCTCAGGTGGCACCGTGTGATTCCCGCCATCATCCCGGGGGGGTGCACGCCCCTGCTGCAGCCCCTTGACGTGAGCATCAACCGCTCCTTTAAGGCGGGACTGCGCACGTTCTACAACGACTGGTTCGCCGATGAAGGCGTGAACAGCTTCACCCCCGCAGGTGCGTGTACCTTAAGGGTTCTAAACCGTAACAAAGTGAGAGCACATGTTGACACAATAAACACACTCACTCGAATCTGTGTGCGTTGGTCGACCTTGCAGGGAACCTGAAGAGGCCCCCCGCTGAGACGGTGCTGAAGTGGATCGCCCAGTCATGGAGCGACGTGCCGGAGCACATCATCGTCAAGGCGTTCCTGACCACCGGCATCAGCAACGCCGTTGACGGCAGCCAGGATCACCTCGTCATGGCGCACATGCGGGATGCTGGACAGGTCGAGGTGGGAGAGGACGTCCACTCCTCCCCCTTGGTGGATGAGTGGGTCAACCCCCTCTACACCACGACTGCTGACGACGAGGAAGCTGCCCGGGAGGCGG